CGCAGCCACAGGAGCGGTCCCGGGGAAGGTTGGGTACAGATTTTGAGGGGTCCTGCGGACCACACTATAGTTGGTCCTGCAGTTTTCCACGCTGGAGGAGACCAGACAAGAGCAGAAAGAGGAAAGACTGCCTCCCGAACCCAAATGCATCAGCAAAGGGGGGTGGGTGGGTGGGAAAGAACTTTCTAGATCAGAAAACAAAGGTGATTGGTTATTAACACGGTGTAATGAAACCAATAGCAGCGGCAAGCATGTCTTAAGCACGGTCACTGTTCTTGTTAGAAGCATAAAACCATCCATTTTGGGGAGCATGGGGGTTAGAAATCATCAGACTAATTCATGCCACCAGCTGTGCCCTCTCTGCCAGGCCACTGCCACTGTCACCCCAGGGCAAGGGTTCCCAGTGCCCATCACAGGCAACCTCAAAGAAGGTCTCTTCCCGGATTTCTAAAGGAGGCCACTGGGCGAAAACATGGGTGGTTCCTATGACTCTCCTGGTCACTGGCGCCATCAGCTTTGTCCTGAGGAGAGCCCTCCGTGATTTTATCTGATCACCTGGTCATTTGCTTCTTCAGGTTCAGGATGTCCTGGTCCCCCACCATGTGACTTCCAGGGCCTCCTTCTGCCTTCCCCTGCCTTCCCTCCTGGTGGCGCCCTGGGGACCTGGCCACCCCTGTTCACTGTGACATTTCCCTACCCAGGGCCTGTTCGGATTTCTGCCCACCTTTCACAACCAGATTCTTGCCTCTCTTGTCTCAGGGACAACAGTGCCAATGACTCGTCACCACCTACACCTGGACGTGACATCTAGGACAAGAACGAATTACCTTGTGTTTCTGCTTGGAAACTTATCTCAGCCAGCCACCCTCTTCTGGTTATGTTTCTCGTGGAAACATAGGAAGGACAAAGGATGCTGATTTCACTTCCTTAATTATACGGCCGAGTCTACGGAGACTGAAAACTACAATTGATTTTATTCTGTAGGAACATCAAACATGTTTCTTCTTGTTGTTCTTCTCATATCCATGAGAAGAACACTCCCCTCTAAACAAGGTTGAGCATACAAACTTGCCTGAAGATCAGGAGAATGAAATGTAACCAAACAAGACGGAAATAAATACTCCCAAGTACCCCGAAAATAATGCCTCCTCGCCCTCCCCTGAACAGTGGTCTCCCTTCCAGCTTTTCTCCTGAAGATGACCTGCCAAAAAGGACCCTTCACAGCAAAAATCATAAAGTCCCTTCCCAACAAAATACACCAAGACATTCTCCCAAGCCTTTTTAGGCCAAATTCACTTGTCACCATGAAAGCAAATTTTTAGGTAAACAAACAGTAGCATTTTTTTTTTTGAAGTCACACAACAGACAGCCAAGAATATCAAGAGAAAGACAACTTGAAATGTTTTAATGTCCTAGCCCAAGCCCAACAAATTCGATCATTTGTGTTTAAAAACGCCAGTGCCTGCAATTCCCCAAGCGCCAGAGTGAAGCCTTTTATACCACCAGCCTCTGTATCGTCCAGCATTCGGTGTAAGGATGCCGTCTGGTCCACGGGTGACTGGAGTCTGCTTTTCTGACTTCCCCAGGCGGCAGGCAAGCGACAGCGAAGAGTAAATACAACATGAATGAGGGCAGAAAAGAACAACTTGGTCTTAATCAAATGCCGTAGGAGAGTCTCAGAAGTACACTGTGCCCGGTTCATGGCAACAGACACCTCAGTGAAGGACAAAAGGTCATTTCCCTCCCCACACAGCCCCCCCCCCTGCTAGCCACTCCCCACTCTCTCGCCAGGATGATAATCAACTTTGTTTTTGAAAGCCAACGTGTCTCCAACTCTAACGTTGATAAACATCACCTGGAGGCCTTGTTACAATAGACACTCCTGAGTCTCTCTCTCTCTCTCTCTCTGGTCCTACCAATGAAAACTTCTGGGGCTGGAGCCTGGGAGCCCCGTTTTTTAACACATTCCCTAAGAAACGCTATTCACTGGGTGGGGGGACGGGGTGGTTAGGAACACTCGTGAGGAACGAACACTCGATCGAAAGAGGCATTGGAACTTGGGCGTGGGGAGGTGAGCCAAGGCTTCTGAGGAAAGGCCCCGACCTGGGCAGGTTCCTGCCCCAGGCAAAGAGCGCGGCCTGGTCTCACTGTGGGGGGCGAGGGGAGACCAGCACAGGGCTGTAGCTGCACAGCCGAGACACAGTGACACCGTAAGCTGGGTGTTAAACCTGGCTGCCTTCCAACAGTCTTCACCTCAAACTCATGGGCCATCCTCTCGGACAAGGCCTCTCCTCGTCTCCGGCCCCCAGTCCTTGCCCACCACAGGGCCCCTGCCCCGTAGGACCTGTGTACGGGGACCTCTCACTCGGCGCCAACCGCGTTGCCCAGACGGGCTCCACTGAATCCTGGTATTTTTTGACCTCCGCTCCACCAGCAAGGCCTTATGCAGAGGGTGTCCCATGAATGTTGACCAAGCAGAACCTTGTGTTCCGTTTGCAACCGTCTCCGGGCCGCCTGGCGGTCCTGATTTTTCACACAGAAAGTTCTAGGCCTCTCCTTGCTCACCTGGCCTACAACGCTTCACTTCTGGCTGAGGAATTGGCCCCCGCTTCTAAACCCCACCTTTCCCATTGGGTATTTAAAGGAGCCACGGTGCAACCTCAGATGCCTGAGGTTTTGATTATAGCATCACAGAGTTGAGTCGTTTACACTTCTTGTTTCAGAAGGAACTAAAGCTCTCACAACTCTCGCAGCTGGAGCCTCTCAACGGAATTTAAGGCGCAAGAAAACGTACCAACAGGTGATCCTAACATCAAAACCCGCGCAGCCCGGAGTCCCAAATGCTAAACGCGAAACACCTGACTTCCCTGCTCGGCCGCCCCACGCCCCCAGCGCCACGCACCTGTTTCAGTCTGGCCAGCACCACCCACTCAAGGGCGGTTGGAACCAGAGGAAACCTGAAATTACTGTATAAAGAAGGCAAGAAACAGTCCATAAAGGAGCCATAAAAAAAAATCACCCCTGTGAGGTCTCCCTCATGAGACACCCTTCATTCTCGAAGAACTAAAGTGTGATGTCGACTGGGTGGACACCTGAGGACGAAACGTGGCCACTTCTGCCACCTTAGGGTTTACCTGTGCCCCCCACCCCGCACCCCCCTCCGTCCACGCGCAGCTGTGCCCGTCCCAGGCGCCCGCACGGCCACGGCGGGCTGGCGGGCGCCGCGCTGACCTTGCAGTGTGGGGTCCCCCCCGGCTTGTTCTTCATCACGCGAGGTCAGCTCCCTGCGCCAAGGGTCTTGGAGACTCACCGATGTTCAGTCTTGGAGACATGGAGACAGACCGCCCAACGTGTGGGGCTCCCCTGCTAAGTGTCTCCAAAAGTCGCCTTCCGCAGTCCACAGGGGAGGCTTCTCTGTGTCTGAGCCCCGAGCTTACGACCAAGTCCGTTACCAAGTCCCTCGCAGGGTGTCGGTGGTTCCAGTCCAGGCCGCTCCCTAGCAGTCGGAGGTCGACCCTCGCAGACCCTAACAGGCAACCCCGGTCGGTCTGCGCCCCTGCCCCCGCGTGGAGGTTTAAATCCACGAGGGGAGGGAAGACTGGGGGAGGATGGCCCTCAGGAGCCCCGCACCTGGGCTCCCGGCTGCGCAGCGGGGGCGGGCCCTGCCCGGGGCTGAACCACCCCCCGCCCCCAGCAGGCCCTCCCGGCCCTGCAGCTGACCCACGAGCCACGATCCCAAGTCGGCCTTTCCAGGCAGCAGGCTGAGGGGCGCAGGCTCGGGCTCCCCCCGCGCCCGTGCGGGCCCCGCGCACCTGTCCGCCCCGGGAGGCTTCATTAGGCCGCGCCCGCGCAGCCCGCCGGTCCTGCCGCGGAGTCCAGGCCATGGAGCCGACCCAGAAGCCCTGCCAGAAACCGCGGGGTGAGCTCGGGGTGCGGGGCCGCCTGGCCTAGGAGGCGCTGGGGCCTGGGTCGGCCCAGGGACTGGGCCGGGGCGCGGGAAGGTCTCTGTATGTCGCGCCCGCCTCCATCGGGTCCCCATCTGGGCTGGAGTCCCAGGGCTCTTCTAGTCTAGATTCCGTGATAACCTCGCATTTACTGAGCAGCTACTGTGTACCAGGTTTGCTAGGCTACCAGCTCTCCTAAAAGCGCTGTAAAACCAGTCTGCTCTGCCTCCCCCCCCCCCAGGCCTGTTCCCCCCTCCCCCAGCCTCAGGTCCTGTTTGCCCCCAAGGAAATAACTTGACCTGAGCCGGTGATGGCCATCTTACTACACCCGCTGGGAGGAAGTCATTCCTGGTACATCTCATGCGATTTCATTAAAATAACAATCGTACTATTTATTTGGAAATGATGGAGCAGCCTCTTGAGCTGTGGATTTGGGGGTTCTGAGTAAGGGGGAGGTGGCTGGAACGTGGTAAGCACCTGATGAACCAGTTCTAGCTCCAAAGACAGAGACAGAGAAGCTGGGAGGGTAAGAGGGGCTTCCTGTGTCAGCTGGCTCATCCTCCCTCCCTTGTGTGACGGGTGGTCTGGGCCTGAGGCCCCTGCCCCACAGAAGGTGCTGCCTGTGGCCGTGAGGGGGGCTGGCAAGGGCAGAGTTACATGGGAGGGGTGGGGAGGGGTCGCTGCTGTGAGGTCCTGGGCTGCCCCTGCCTGGGCTCTCGGAGGCCATGCAACCGCTCCGGGCCCCGCTCTAGGCCATAACGTCTGTATCTGCAGTAGAAACAAAATCCCGTCTGAGCAGCAGAATCTCAACCTCTCTCTTCCCAACCTACCCCACCCCCAACACGTGTCCCTTAGAGATGCCTGACTGGATGCGTGTCCAAACTCACAGTCCCGGGTTTGGGGCAACTAGCAGGGAACTCACAGGAAGTACCGCTCCCCCCACCCCCATTAGGACCACCCTTCTACCATTCATGTGCGTGAGACAGCCCCCCGGAGAGCTGCACAGATTTGCTAACATTTTCCAAAGCCGTGGGGTTAGCCAGCGTGAGCCTCGCAATGCCAAGCTCAGAGGGTAGGCCTGGAGTTACCCATTCTGTGCGTGGGTGACTCAAAGCTAAGGCAGGAAGCAGCAAACCCCGCTCTGTCCAGACTCTCTCGTCTCCTCGGCGCTAAGGTCAGGGGGTGCTGGCTCCCCACAGGCCCGGAAGGTGGAGGCAAGCCCCTGGCTGCTGAGCCGGAGAAGGAAGGGCCGCTGCTGCCGCCGTTGCCGAGCTCAGCACCCCACACTCAGGGTGTCCCGAGTGGGGAGCCGCCGGCCTCCTGTGCTGTCCCTGGGGAGAAGCCGCCGTCGGAGGACCCCGGAGCAATGAGCGGGGCTGATGCTGCTGGGGGGTCCGAGGCTGTCCACAGGCAGAGGGCCCAGCCTCAGGGAGAAGGGTGCCCCCTCCCTAGCAGAGAGGCCAAGGCCGGGAAGAGGCCTCTCTCTCCAGGCTCCACCGGTGATCCGGCCTCACGGTCGCCTCCCTCGGCCCAGACCACACACAACCCGGTGCCTTGTGGGTCAGGCCGGGGGTCCTGCCACCTGGCCAACCTCCTCAGCACATTGGCCCAGAACAGCCAGAACACGGACCCGAAGAGGCCCCCAGAAGTGACCTGCCAGGCTCGGAAAAAGACTAGAACCCTGTACCGCTCAGGTGAGTCCTGAGAGGCCAGAGGAAGCCTGCGACCTGGTGCCCTGTCTGGGAAAGGTGCACTCAGTCGAGAGTGTGGCCCCCAGAGAGTGTGCACCGCCGTGGCCCCATCCTCCCTTGACCTGGGGCAGGACCACGGCCTCTCCCTGGCGAAGCCTTGTCACAGAGCGCAGTTGGAGACGGGTTAGAAAGAGCAAAAAACACCAGCCGGTTCCCACCTACAAAGCCCGAGAGAGAGAAAAGGCCCCACTGGGTTGGGGACTTAGTGGCAAGGTCCTGGGAAGGCCCCTGGGCTGGGACTGTGGTCTCGTCTGGAAGGCGTCTGCCTCTCTCCTTCCCTGCCACCGCCCTGGTGTCTGTCCTCACGTGACTTCCTCCTTCTTGCAGACCAGCTGGAGGAGCTGGAAAGGCTATTCCAAGCAGACCACTACCCGGACAGCGATAAGCGCCGGGAGATTGCCCAGGCGGTGGGGGTCACCCCCCAGCGCATCATGGTAAAAAGGGGGCCGGCCAGTGCTGGTGGAGGGGGCTGGTGAAGGGAAACCTGCCGCCTGGGCCTCGGAACAGCAGGGCGTGTGCTCAGCACCTCCTGACTCGGGGGGAGGCGAGATCTCATTAGGGCTGTGTTCTTGCCAGTGCCCATATGGCGACAGCCTCAGGACGCTAGGAGCGGACAGTCCGTCCGTCCGTCCGAGGCTACCTCTGGGAACCTTTTCTAAAACCAGCCCGCGAGAGGCTGGGTGTAGCTCGTCAGGGGACCGGCAGGACCCGCCTCAGCCTCTGCCCCGCTTCTCCAGCCCTTCAGGTGTCTCTCCCCACAGGTGTGGTTCCAGAATCGCAGGGCCAAGTGGCGGAAAGTGGAGAAGCTGAACGGGAAGGAGAGCAAGGGCGGTGCGGCAGCCCCCGCCCCCGGCCCCCTCCCCGTCCCGGCCAGCGGTCAGTGCAGGTGAGGGCTGCTCACCTTCCTGGACCACCCCCGAGGTGGGAAAGGGAGTCCAAGCCGGGACCCCGGGGTCGCGAAGGCCAGGCGTGAGGCTGGGGATGCCGGGTCAGATTTAGAGGGTGGGGTGGGCTGCATGGGAGGCAGAGCTTGGGGTCCCCCGAGGTCCCCCGAGGTCCCCCGAGATGCCAGGGACCACTCACACCACACCCTTTGTCCTGTCTGCCCCCAGCGCCGGCACTGAGGTGCCTCCTGCTGCGCCCATGGACCCGCAGCTGGGCACCTTCCCTCAGGAGCCCCCTCTGGACACTCTCCCAGGTGAGACCACCTTCCAAGGGTCATGGGGGGGAATGAGTGCCCATTAGGAAGACAGTGGGCCTGTGCAGGGGTCCTGGGCATCGCCCACACCCATCTCCCCGACACTGACCCCCCCATTCCCTCACCGACACAGCTCCTCTGCCCTCTCTTCCTAGATGCCCCCATGCTGCTGACGTCTGACCAGACTCTGGCCCCAGCCCCGCAGACTGGGGGTGCTCAGAGGGTGCCAGTCACCCCTCCCCTCTTCAGCCCCCCACCCGTTCAGAGAGCCAGCCTTCCCTTCCCCTTCGGCCCCATGCACACCCCCCAGCTGACGCCCCTGCTGATGGATGCTCTTGGCAGTGACAGCAGCCACAAGGATGGCTTCTGTGGGTCCTGGGGAATGAGGTAAGGAACCTAATGGGACCACCTCTTGAGCAACTTGGGGAGGGCTAAGAATTCTGGGGGGGCAAGGAGGAGGATTCCTGGAGAGGGTCAGCAGAAGCTGGGAGCAGGAATGGGGGAGCAGGAGCGGGTGGCAAGTCTGGGGTCATGGAGGTGGGGGCAGGTGCTTGCCTACTGTAGGAGTGAGGAGTCCCCCCCCCCCCCTCACAGAATGCCCCCCTGTCCCCACAGTGTCACACCACCCCCCACCTGCTCTTACCTGGAAGAGCTGGAGCCCCAGGACTACCCTCAGGGGCTGTCCCAGGTCCCTCAGGCGCCACAGACCCAGCTCTTCCAGACCCCGCCGACCCAGCTGCCGTACCTGCACCCGCTGGCCTTCCCCTCGCCCAGCTCGCTGACGCCGCCACTTCTGGAGGACCCTTTCTTCCCACTGCCCTACGGCCCCGGTGGGGGGGCCTCGCAGGGCTACTTCCCAGCGCCCCCAGGAGGGCAGGGCCTGCTGCAGCCGCCTGCCGGGAACCTGGGTGAGTTGGGGCTGGAAGAGAAGGTGGCCTGGTGACTGAGGAAGGTGAGGAGGGACAGAGAGCCTCATCAGAGGAGGAGGGCCCGCCGGGGCCCCCGGGAGCAGAACAGGGTTTCAGAGGCGGGGAAACTCGAGTTTGCCGGCCAGCTGGGCAGTTTCCAACTCTCCTGAGTCTCATTGTCCAGAGACTCGGAAACAGGACCCCTGTCTCCGCACCGTAGAGGCACTCGGGGAAGGTCAGGAAGAGCAGGAGTGGCAGGGCCGGCAGAGTCGATGTCGGCTGGTGGCCGGGTTCTGAGGCGCCGCATCCCGGGAAGGCTAACTTCTAGTGGGAGGGGGGGGAAGGCACGTCCAGCTGGTTCCCGTCTCCCTGCTGCCTGCCTGGGAGGGCCCCTGACCTGAGCCATGGTCCGCTTTGTCACTGTAACCAGACCCCAGGACCTTGAGTGAGGGGGCACAGCTGGTCCCCGGGGCAGCTTCGGTGCCAGCATGTCACCTAGACTCGCCCGGGGCCTGCCCTGTGTTTCTGGGAGGTGGACTCTTGTCACGGAGCAGCGTGCTGCTGAACTGTGGCTGATGCCCGAGGTCCACTCTGATCATTCCTGTGTCCTCTGACCCTGCAGGTACAGTCCCCTGGAATGACCCTTGCCTGCCGGAACTGCCCTTCCCCGGACCCTTCTGGCCACAAACCCTGGGGCAGCCCCCAGGAGGGGACAGCTACTTTCCCGACCTGTTCCTGGCTCCCTGCGCTCAGGCTGGGACCCGACAGCCCTCTCCACCCAGCCGGCTGCCTGCAGGCGCCCCACCTGGGGCTGGGCCCTCCCTCAGCGGGGGCCCGGAGGAGCCTCCCCTGCCCCCCGCTGCCTCGGAGCAGGGCCGAGAGGAGGACAAGGACAGCCAGGGCCCCTAGTCCTGGGGCCACGCCAGAGGGAGGCTGCTCCAAGGGGGAGGGTTGGGGCGCCCCCAGGGGGACAGCGGGTGACACCTTAGGAAAGACTGGGCTGTGCCTGTGGTGGGAGTCGGCTGCCTCCCCTCTGTGGGCTGAGCGAGGGGCTGGCCCTCCCTCTTCTCCAGGCCTCGGTGGTGGGTGGTGCTGAAGGACGTGGGGGGCCTGGATCACTTCTGAAGTCTGTGCCATTTATGTTGCTTGCTTTCCGGGGTAGACGAATGAGCTGGAGTGCTCATTGCCAGCAGTAAACTGCTCTGCTGTCGAGCTTCTCTCCGTAATTAAGCGCCTGTCCACCCACTCACACGAAGAAAGAGCCCCGATTCCCTCACTGCCTTCCACGCAGCCCACCAGGTGTCATCTCACGTCGCAGGTGGCGTCACCGCTGGGCGCAGCCTGGGGGAGCCTGCAGCCTCCCTGACCCAGCTCTCCAGCTGGAGGACTTGCCACCCCCTCCGCTCCCCCCTTCCTGCCTCCTGGGCATTCGGGGCCTTGTCTCCAGTCCCGAGGTCAAACTAGGTTCCCTTCCCCAACCCGAAGGGAACCTGGGTGAGGCTGGGCCCTATCAGTTACAGGATTACAAGAGAAGCCCAAGGATATTTTAGGGTATGTCTCCAGTGTCGTGAACCACGAGTGTTATTCCCAAAGCTTTATTTTGGGGGAGTGGTGTAGGAAGGAAGGGTAGTAGGCACACCCAGAAGAAGATGCCCTCATAGACAGTACTGCACGTCTCACAGAGCCCCCTGTGCACTAGCGGGGTACCGCCCTGCACCCCCAACGGTGACGCGTATGGGAAAATTCGCATCCTCTCGATGGCAACTCAGGACTTTGCGATGGACCAAAGAGCAGAACCCTTCTCTGATTCCAGGAACAATGTCTCCCCTCTAGTTTAAGCTTTCAGTATCACAATCTCTCCACTAGATGGCGCTCTACCGCCAGTTTCACCGCGGCCTTGAATGTTCTGGTGGTTGACAGCGATTTTTTCATCCTTTTTCAGGCAGGGCGCAGGGCACATAAATTACTAAAATTCTGCAGCACACCAAACAATGTTTTGTACCTACTTGATAAAACATAGGTATAATTTTGATTCATTCATATCTGACAGCTAGCGTGTTGGCGGTTCTCATTTATTTTACAATCTAAGGGAAAAGGAGTCAGTGCCCCTAACTAGTCAGGTACTGCATGATTTAAAGATTGTTGTGACACAAGTGGACAATCTCTGGTTTACAGTAAGAATAGCCCATGCCAATTCTCCCAGGCATCAACAGGCACCAACAGGACCGGTGAACATAGGAAAACAAAGCTCCCTCCAGCTTTCAGGAGCCAAACAAACGACCAGCCACCCTGCCTGCCTGCCTGCCTGCCTGCCGAGGGTCAGCCAGAGAGCCGGGTGTGATGAAGTCCCCCAGGCGGGGCAGCGGCGTCTGCCTGGTGGGGAAGGCATCAGAGTCCAAGCAGTGCACCTCCCGAGAGGGACGCAAGAGTGTTTCAGCAGGAGGCTCAGTGGGTGCCAGGCCATGGAGACTGGAGAGAGGACCGGGGCGTGTGGAGTGGCTGGATCTGTCGAGAAGAGACCAATGGGGGGCGAGGGGCTGTGGGCGAAGATCAGAGAGGCGTGGCAGGTTTAAAGAATGGGCGTGGCTTGCTCGAGTCTGTGTTTTAGGAAGACCAATGGGAAGTAAGGTCGGAGGCTTGGAGAGGGGAAGCTGGGAAAGGGGACTGCCGGTAAGTCTGAGAGATGATGGAGAGAGAAGGGGGCAGGTGGGAGAAATCCTGAAGAGTCAGAATCAGTAGGAAGGAATGGCAGAGACAGGGAAGAGATTGCGATAACTAAGTAATTAAGTAACTGCATTAATTGAGAAAGGAAAGATGGAGACGGAGCAGATTCGGGGAAGAGACCACTTTGTGTATGTCGAGGCTGTTTCTTGGCGTTACACCTCTGCGGACACGTCTAGCGAGAAAACTGTGGGAGTAGGGTCTCTTCAGCATCGAAAATGCTAGCTGAGGTCAAGAGATGGTCCCAAATCGCTCAGGCAGAGCATGCGACATGAAGGGACTCCCGGAAACACCAGCTAAGAAAAGAACAGGGCAGAGTAAAGGGGCCCTGAGCATGAGGAGGGAGGACCCGAGGGCAGGAGGAAAGAGCTGGAAGGGCTGTCGGCTGGGAAAGGAGGCCCAATGGGGTCCGTAGGTCTGGGAAGGAGGGTGGACGAGTAATTGTGCAAATTAAATACGATGACCCCAATTTACAGAGGGGGACGTGAGCGCTTTCCATGAGTTCCTAAGAACAGCTTTATCAAACCGAGACAAAATTTTCCACATCGCCGAACGCCGCTGAAGGACTCCTGCTTCCTGGTTTCCAGTAGATTATTTAAGAAACTGGAAGGGCCCTCATAGGTGAATGGCTGCTTATGGCAGTCAGTGTCGTGTGTCTGGAACGGCCGACCCAGAACTTGGTCCTCGGATAAAACATTCATCATGATGATGACCCCTTAGTCAGCGTTTACTGTGTACACACGTGGCTCTCGAAGACGGCATCTCACTTCCCGGCAGCCCTACACGGCATCACTCACCTGAGTCTGAGAGGTTCATGTGTCCACCCACGTTGCAAAAGGAATGGGTGTTGGTCAGAAGGAGCCCACGTCAAGAAGCAGTGTGTTGGGCTCGTTTCCGAGGGAGAGGATAAGAAAGGTCAGAAGGTGGGCGTGAGTGCAGTAGAACGACGGACGGGTGTAATCTAGATTCGATTCAGAACCCTCCAGAGACCCTAGGTCTGTGTGTAAGTGACAAACAGTACTGACTTGTTCGACTGAAAAGAAATCTGGGCATTGTTGTGAGACCAGAGACATAGAAGACAACCTCGGTGAAGGGAGCTGAGTGTTCCCGAGCTGGAAAGGGAATTGGAATGTCCGAAAAGAACAGGCCCAGAGGGAGGTGAGGGGGGCGGATAATGGGGAAAATGAGGCAGGTGGAGGGGCTGGAGGGCCAGATGGGGTCCAGCTGGGACCAGTCCCACTCAGGGGTGTCAAACTCATTTTCACCGGGGGCCACATCAGCCTCGAGGTTGCCTTCAAAGGGCCAAATGTAATTTTAGGACTGTCTCAAGGTAACTACTCCTTAACGGTTAAACGAGAGCTCAGCCCTGCCACCAGGTAGAAGAAACAAGGTGCTGGTCCGGATAAAACAAGGTGGAGGGCCAAACTTGGCCTGCGGGCCTTGTGTTTGCCCCCCTGTGGGCTACCAGGTGGCTGAGAGGGGAGGAGACATTCAAATCTGAGATCCTTCGAGCGCCCTCCTCCAGAAAGACAGGTGAAGAGAGTGGAGTGGGGAGGGCCTGGGGCCGGTCTCCAGTGCCCAGGAGTGAGGTGCTGGAACCACAACCGTGGAAGGGAAACAGGGGAAGCCATCTCGGGAGCAATGATGAAATCAGCAGAACTGGAGGGCGAGGGTGGAGGGGAGAGACTGCCCAGCTGCCTCCGGGCTCCAGAGCCGGGGACTCTGGGCGGGCCAGTTACAAAGGGGGAGCCGGGAGTGTTGCCTTGGCACCTGCTGCACCTGTATTTTCAGCTGGCTCAGCTGCCTCGGGTACATCCTCCCGCCATGATTGTATTATCTGGGGGTAGAATTTCCACCCGTGGAGGAGATTCCTCGGTCCTTTCCGGTGCACTTTCCCTTTGTTGCTGCCCCTGTGGTCCCTCCCGCTGGGTCCTGGGCCATGTGTCCTCCCCAGCAGATACATCCCTTTGGCCCGCCCCTTCTGAACTCAACAGGCCTTTACTGACCCCACGCACCCCCTTTTGCCCACTTCTTGGTTAGCTTGACTTTTTTCTGTTGCTTCCTATAACAAGTAATCATTTGAACTGGTGAAATCGAGCACATTTTCCTACCCAGCATGCTCAAAATTGTCCCCAGCACCAATTTAAAGGGCTACTGCCCAAGTGTTTAAAAAACATTTAACCCTCCAGTTTTCCTTGATTTTCATCTGGATCGTTCCTCGGTCCTCTTTTCCCCCTTCTGCCCGTGACCGCCTGTCTTGGCCTAGTTCAGAGAGGAAGCCCAGTCTCTCCACAGGCCTTCTGTCTTCTTAGTACTCATCCTCTCTACTCCTCTCCACCCTGAAAGCTAACCAGCCACCTCTTCACGCACACGCACACGCAGAATCTCGAGACTTCCAGTTCTCTGAGGCCACACCACACCTTATCTTTTTTTTTTTTTCCATTTGGTTGCCAGGAGAAGCTCAATTCTATCACCAAAACCTGCTTGTTAACCATTCCACAAGCCTCGCCACCTGCTCCTCCTGCTCTCTCCAAAAACAGTCTGCCCGTCCATGCTGTGTTGACTGGGTCTTCACAATTTATGGCAACTCCCCTTCCACCTTCTGGGATGAGCACAAACTCAGCAGCTCACCCGCCCAAGTCCTAGCGCTGAACACCAGGCTGTTCTGGCCTGTAGCTTATGACCAGCTGCCTGGGTGACATCAAGCAGACCACCCCCCCTCTCCAGGCTCCACTGCGACAAGGGAGGCTGTTAAGACACAAACATCTGTGGGAGGTCTGTCGCCTCCAGTAGGGGATGGTCAGTTTCTCATCCACACGGCAAGCTGCTCTCACCAAGAAAACTCTCTAGAACTAGCTGGACGGGTCCCATCCAAGGGGCAAGCCTTCCTTTGCCTCCTGCATTTTCCTTCGCTCCCCAAGATCACCTGCTTCTGTGTCGGCAAATGTCTCCCTTGCCGGACTTGGGGTCTCTGCCGCGGCATCCCAGGGTCCTTCTGCCTCGGCCAACTTTTCTACAAGTGTCTGAACTTTCTCCCTGGGGTTTGGGAAGCCCTTGGTCTGTGGTCCACCTCAGCACAAAAAACGGCCCCGACTCCCACCCTACTGGACCTGCACCCACATTGTTCAGAAGAAATTGCTTCTCTGAATTGCTCAGCTGACTGCCAGGAAAATATTTATCTGCTCAGTGACGCTCCTGGGGGAGTCCGTGGGCCAGTCTGGGCCCCTCCCGGGAGCGGGCTCTGCCCTCAGGCCCCTGACTCACTCACCAAGCAGCAGGGCTCAGGAGCCCCTCCCTCTGAGCTCCCTCACACACCACCCCAGCTCATTCCCACCCACGGCCCCTGCCACCAGCCACGGAAAGAATGAAGATTGCGTCCACTCACCCTGTGTCTTCCCGATGACCGGAGCCTCGTTCTTGCTGACCCTGGGACCTCCGAGAACTGCATGGATGCTGTGCCTGAACCTCTTCCCTGGAGGGAAGAGGGCAGAGAAATTTCTCCCTCGTGACTGTGCTTTAAAAGGGGCGGGAGGGAAGCAGTGGGTCAGAAGCTCACAGAGCAATGTCCTCAGTTCGTCTGAATCGTCTGAATCACTGGCATCAGTTTCTCTTTAGCTCATTTACCTGTAACCTTTGGCCCCTCTGCACACCTGATTTCAGGGTCAGACGAATGAACAGCAGGCCACTCTTGAGTCATGTTTACAACGATCGACCGTCGCTCCAGTCACTGAACTGCGGCGGCAAGAGCGCGGCACCGCCACCGCCGAGGTATTTATGCTCCGGACGGAAAGCCAAGTACAAACACGCAGGAGGCCGTGCAGTGTTTTTCAGGCAGGTCGGGGGGGAACTGTGTCCGTAAAGGGCTCCTCAACCAAAAGGGCTGGATTGCTGATTCAGTCTCATTAACGGGAACAGGCTATGATAAGGGCAGCGTCACTGAACACGTAAAAACACACCAATTCTTATGCGTGTAACGTAGGATCGGGAAGGAAACTGGGTTTGTGCTGGGGAATACACACATGTGTGAAAGAATGGGCCGGGGAAGGGCACCTCTGCAGATTTCAGACCTTTAAACAACTTCTATCCCAAATTAAAAAAAAAAAATCAGTCATCATAGAACCAAAATTCATTTTATTTGTATCATGGATCTAGAAGTTGTTTAAGAGACAGAAAACACAATGAAGGGAGCTAAACATATCTTAACCTGTGAGCCTGCCCGATGGTTACATGTAGGCTGATCTCATTTACATGATTGTAAGTGACCACAACAGAGCAAGTCGGTTGTGCCCAAGAAAAATCATAAGCTCCTGGTGAACTCTAAGTGAAAAGCTGATGCTGGAAATGAACGGCAAGGAGCAGCTTCTTCTGGGCGGAGGGAGGGGGCCGAAGTGAGGGGCACTCGGCGTGGTCCGGGCCCAGGGAGAGAGCACAGCGGACAGCCACCTGTGTGTCCTCACTCTCCCAGCCTGTCACAGTTCAGCAAGGTGCCTCCAAGCAGGACTGCTGTCGGGGTCTCCTGACGACACCCACCCTGTGCCTGGTTTTGTTTAAAAACCAACCACACCCTGCGTGTATTTGTCTCCATCCAAAAAGTCCTGCTCAACGGTGGTTTCACGGTCTCTCACCAGAAACTGCTGTGTTTCTAAGAACAATGGGGCCGATCGGAATTCAAGGGTGCATGGAGTCAAATTCTGGAAATCTGCAGAAGACAAGGAACGTGAGGGGACCTGGCCCCAATTTTGTGAGACCCAAAGTATAGAAAATTTAGTAATTCGACCGAGGAGAGATTACTCACATATAAGCTTTGTTAGTTTGTTCTGTTTTTGTTTTCGTTTCTTGTTTTTAAAACTAAGGGCCTAAAGACAGGTAGAAAAAGCCTATTGTCTTTTAACTGAGATTTGCCTGGAAAATAGGAGGTTAGACATGACCCAGTTCGGTCACATGGCCAGTATTCAAATACCAGTTGAAACAAGTAACTTGGACTATCATTACTGTTTTTGCTGTTAAGAAAAAACAGTGGTTAGTTTACATATAATATATACATATTAATAAAGCATATATTTTTAAGCTGGCTTTATGAAAATAGCGAAAAACTGCATTAGAACCTTTCTAAACCATGACGTTTTAGGCTGTTCAGTAGGGTCATCCTGTTCAGGATAAATTAATATTAGTCCCACCTTAATTACAATAGTGATAACTTTTCTAGAAATTGAGCAAGCGAACTCACATTTGGGGATGGACTGAAAATGACATGTGCTGTCACATGTGACACCACCCCCCTGTCATGCCATCACTAACTGGGGATAGGACCACGTCTTCCGTATTGTTCTCACCTGTGTACGAAGCTGCAACACAGTTTCACTTTTGAGCCCCACCCCAAAGGTAAGACTCCAGGAAGGACTCAAATGACCTAAGTGACGGCTACACCACTGCCGTGTGAGGCCCTCACATGGGGAAGGAGCGTAGAGGGTGATGCCCTTCCCCGGAGGGGGGCCATCTGACTGGGCAGATAATCACACGTGGTGGGGCCGGACCGGACTCGCGTCTGACATTGAAGGCAAGTGAGAGATGGACGGGCCGAGGCACCGCAGGCAGTAACTGGACGATGGGCCTCTTGCCTACAGGATGCCAGGACTCTCTGCAGTACGGCGTGCTGCTTTTCAGATAGGATCAAACGGCTGGGGAGATGCTGTCACAATAATTCAAGTTAAAATATAAAATCGGCCCTGGCTGGTGTGGTTCAGTGGATTGAGTGCTGGCCTGCAAACCAGAGTCGCTGGTTTGATTCCCAGTCAGAGCACGTGCCTGGGTTGTGGGCCAGGTCCCCAGTTGGGGGTGCATGAGAGGCAACCACGCATTCATGTCTCTCCCTCCCTTTCTCTAAAAATAAATAAAATCTTTTAAAAAATACATAAACTGGTGAATGGTCTTGAATAGGATTTCCAAATCCACCCATACTAGCCTGTACCTTCAAGTTCAGTAAAAAAGAGAGTTTGAGTAGGGTTTGCATTACTCATCAATTCTTCCTAATTTCTTGTACAACCTCTCAGGCCATGCTAAGCAGAGAAACCGCCTGAATTCTTGGGAGTCGTGAAGCAGGAGTTCATACGCACCATGACCTATGACAGACACCTTGGTCTTTCCTGACCTGAATCACATGTGTGGGAAGCCTCGCGAGACTCCATGTTCTGAACCTGGTTCAGTGCTCAGGGGTCTGCGTAGCAAACACTCGGAGTAGTGCCAAGTTTATTAGAGTGAGAGAGTATCGCCCTCACATTGCCACCAGCAGAGAGGCGTGCGCTGACCTCATGGCGATGATTACAGAAAATCGTTAGGGCTAGAAGGTACCTCAGGGGCCACCAGGTGGGCCCTCCCACCTGACGTGTTATCCCCCTTAAACACCTCCCTCCAGTGGGCCGAGGTCGGATCCTGTTGAACGCTGCCCACGAAGGACACTCTGGTCAGGTCTGAACCCGCTGTCTGGAAGCAGAGTGTCAGGTACTGTGTGGGAGAAGCAGTCAAGTTCCTTGGTGTGTGCCCATGGACCCCTTTTCCTACGAGAAAAGGTTCCCAGGGTCCAGTGCAAAGCCCCTCGAAATCCCCGACCAAGCACAAAGCACAAGCAGGGGGCCCAGGAGTGGCGACCAGTAGCTGGATTCCGTGCCTGGGCTCTCAGAAGGCCCAGCTCCTGGTCCACAGCAGGCACCTGCCGCACGGCTGTGGGGGGCAGCCCTCTCCAAGAACATCTTGTCCCGAGGCTCGGGGGAGTCCTCCCCGAGAAGAGCTAGGTCTGCTGCTCCACCAGCTGCAGTTTGGCCGTCTTGACTCGGTGGGCTTCCTTCAGGTTCCGCGCACGAACCTCTGGGTTGGAAATGAACTCCACCTGCTGCACGGGAAACCAGCCTCGCTCCCCATCGGAGAGTCTCATGCCCTCCAGCCAGCCTGCGGGCACAGGGGGGTGGGAAGAATGACCTGGAAAACACTGACCATCATGTCCCCCGAGCCCCCTTTCCAGAAGCATTTCTGAATCATCAGGCTGAGGGGACGGCAGAGCCCCAGGGCGTGGGTCACTCAGCCTCCCAGGTCACCCTCCCTGGCTGCCCCAGGTCTGGCAAAGTCTACAGGTGTCCTTCCTGTTCTTTCTCCACTCTCATGGGCTCAATTGTGCCCCGCCCCCAAAATATAAGCTGAAGTCCTAACCCCAAGCACCCCGGAGCGAGCCCTTATCTGGGAACAGGGCTGAGGCAGATGTCAACAGTGAAGCTCAGATGAGGTCAACCTGAGGTCATGGAGCCAAGTGGGCCAATTAGTCCCATACACCTGGTACCCTTCCTAGTAAAACGAGGGGAACTGGGGCACGAACACCCACAGAGGGAAGACAGAGGCAGAGCTTGGAGCGGCCAGGAAGGACCCTTCCCAGAGGCTTTGAAGGGAGCGTGGGCCTGCCAACACTTCTGATTTTGGACTTCTGGCCTCCGAAAGCTCGAGAGAATACATGTCTGTTGTTTTACGCCACCCAGTATGTGGTACTTTGTCCCAGCAGCTGTGGGAGAGGAACACACCCACCCACGGCGCCCCGCCCTCCACACCAGCCCAGGCCCCCGCGGGCTCACCCCTCACCGCCCCCTCACCGTCGTTGCTCTGCTGAGTCACCATGACCACATCTGCCTTCTCCAGGGCCAGCTCGTCGTTCTCCCGGGGTTTGTAGGCTCGGAGGCACTGCACCTGCGGGGAGTCTTGGAAGAGAACAGCGGGAGGACGGCTCAGGAAAGGCCCGGAGGGGACCCGGGGAGGCTGGGAGGGTTTGGGGTTGGGCGAGGTTGAGCTTTGGAAAGTTACAGGCCAAAGAGACCCTTGGGAAAGTCTTCGTTCTTTACCAGGGAACGAAACGGTTGACCAGGAAATAGAAACACCAGAATCGAAATGAATCAAAAATTCTGTTTCTCCGGGGAAGATGAACTGAGGAATGACGCTGTGAACACCTTTCGAGACTCAGTAGTACAAGTACTTTCTACCCACTTTGCCCTGAAACCTCCTCAACGCCTCAGTCCTCCATGGGTTCTTCACGCTCCTTCGAAACGGATCGTCTTGGCCACGCAGTGCACCCCAGATCGAACTGTTTCGAGTATGTGTTCTGGGTCTGCGACAAGATCGTAAAATCCGAGTCTGTGACTCTGTCCTCATCCCCTCCCAGGTCCTTGATGCAGGCCTAGAAGTCACTTAACCGGTGGGGCTCTGGGTCCGATCCAAGGTGGCAGCCAGTCCCCTTGTCCTCGTCTGTACAGGCATAGGCTGATCAAGAAGACTGAACATTTCTGGGTTTCCTACATTTCTTTATGTTTGTGAGTCAGGGGAAACGCCTACAGTCTTGAAGCTGAAGGTAGACCAGTCTCCGAGTACTCCTGGCCCGTGAGCATTCCGTCTCCTGGGGGTTTATTGCTTGTTCTTTCCCGCATCGCACTAGCTCCCTCAGAAAGCAGACAGGACGCCGTGAGACTACCTGCCACCCACAGGGTCACCGTGGAGGAGGACGAGCTAAGGACCTCGCCTCCCTCCCCAAGCCCAGCCCCGTGGAGCGGAAACCCAGCAGCTGGCTCTGGCAGTGAGCGAGTTGACAGAACTCAACGCAGTTTACAGCCTGTTACTCCTACTTCCTTCTCCAGACTTCCTCGTATTTGTTTGTTCTTTTGAGTCACCCAAGGTCCAGCCTTCCTGTGAGTTCAGTTCCTTTTGGATCCGGAGCAGGAAATCCTTGCTGGAGGACAACTGTGGGGCTCACAGGAGACCCGTGAAGCCCGTCTTGGTGGGAATGCAGACGCGCTGGTAACGCCTGCGTGTCTGCGGCTGCCTGTGAGTAACCTGGAAGCCTAGGGCAAGCGCAGGGCCTCAGACCCTCCAAACGGGAGGGGACGTGCTCATAACAGAGGCACCGGCCGCCCCGCACGGCCCCGTTTTCTCCCCCTGCTTCCCTCAGGCCTTCGAGCAGGTGACATCCAGGCCAAAAAAAAAAAAGTAGGATAGACTTAAGGGGCCAAATATTTAAAAAGAGTAAATAAACTATTGCCCCAGGCAGGGATTATATGGGGGGGGGGGTGAGGCGCTGCTGTGGCGATGGACAGTTTTAAGCAGCTCCATCCCAGGTGTTCAACCCCCTGTGGCCCGTCTTCCGCCCTGAAATTCTGGACAAAAGCCGCACACTCCTGCCTCCGCACAGACTCTGGACCCTGCCGTGACCTCTTCCTCTTCGACCCCCACTCACCACAGCACTCCAGAAGGTCCAGCTCCTCCCTGGGCGTGGCCAAGGCCGAGATCCATCGGAGCTTTTCACTTCTGAGGAAACAAAACAGGGGCCCTGCTTCAGTGGCAGCCCAGGGGGTGTAGGACAAGGGAGATGATGGGCAATGAACGTGATCGTGGAAAAGACTTGTCTAGCTCACAAAGTTGTCTAGTTCAACGCTATCTGGGACAAAAGTCCAGGACCGGACAGGATCTTGTACTTGGACTCTAAATTAGTGTCTTATCACCCTTTATTTCCCCCCTTCTCTTTCCAAGTTTATCCTGATAGTCACATCTCAGGGTTTTCAAGTAGGGGCGTAAAGTCAACGTCAGTTGTAAACAGGTAGATGTCCCATTCGGGGAACTGTACCGAGAGAAATGTCCACCTCAGCATAGATTCTGTCTGTCACTGCGTAATTCCCAACACACCTCTGCCACCTCCCTTCTCCGAATGTCTCAGAGATAAAAATCAGTCTGCAACCCTAATCAGACCAGGGAGATACACCTTCTCACTTCTCCTGTCGTGAGATATGATCCCAGCCTCACTTTGTAATTTTCTAAAGGTCTTTACATGGTCTTGGCCTTGGCCTCAGCCTCCAAACACGCCAGAGTCCTTGAGAGCTGCCCCTGTTGCTCATCCAGGGGCATTGACCAAAGTGCCAAGCAAAGCACATGGGCCAATCTGCTCACAGGCTCTTATACCAGCCCAGTAAGTGAAAACAAGCATTACTGACCCCCGCCCCGAAATGTCTTCCAAAAGGCAAAACTGAAAAGTGTCAGAAACACAAGGATCCTCAGGCTATTAGGGGACATGTCAAACTTTTTAAAGAAGAGATTTTGTATATCTTTTATAACGTCAGTAATAGGTATAGCCCTGGTTGGCATGGCTCAGTTGGTTGGAGCAACGTCCCATACACCAAAGGTTGCAGGTTCAATTCCTGGTCAGGGCACATGCCTAGGCTGCAGGTTCGATCTCTGGTGAGGGTACTTATAGGAGGCCACTGATTGATGTTGTTCTCTCACATTAATGTTTCTCTCTCAAATCAATAAAAAAAAAACATATCCTCAGGTAGGGATTTAAAAATAATAACAACAGGTACAGTCTTGTAGCTGTTCATTGGCGTTGCGTACAAAATTTTTTAGGTATTATTTTTGTATATTCTCCAAAATGCATGTATGTGTAAGTGCATTTTTGATAGTTATTTAAAAGATGAGCCAATCAAAGTTCTCAGCACGATGGGTTTCTGCTCCACACAGGACCGGGCTGGAAGGTGGGAGCGAGGAAGCCCACGGCACCCAGTGCTTGTCTTTGTCACACACGTGCCCCCTGGCCCTTGGCACTGAGGAATTTCTGGCTTTCGCATGCACCCATTCACTCCTAGGAGTCAGTAATCCAGCCCTTTGGAGACTCCACATCGGCCCGTCTGCTTCCTGGTACCTCCCAGACTCTGCCCCTCCAGACTAAAGGGAGCACCGTGGACACCGAGCCTTGGCGGAGAATATGCACCCTTGCCCACTGCAGTCTCTGGGGTTGCCGTTAGCTCTAGGAGTCTGGGTGTCTCTGCAGATACTCCCGGTCCAGAGTGGATTCAACGGCGCTGTGGCTGTTTCCCGGTGCCCCTTCCTTGGCCAGGCTGCCGTGCCCCTGCACCCCCTCCCCGCCGCCAGCTCCTTTGCCCAGCCCCCGGCTTAACTGAGTCTCCGTGCTGAAGAGGAACTCGGACTGGGTGCCCTGGGTGTTGTGCAGCAGGAAGAGTCGGAAGAGGTTCTTGTGAAGCCCATGCAGCTTCATCTCACACTTCTCCCCTCGGATGGCAGAGAAGGGAGCGTGGTCGAACACCAGGAACCGGCTGCCCCTGTGGAACAGGAGGCTTTACTGTGTCCTCCCTCACAGCTTTGGATCCCGAGCCCCTGACCTTGTTAGCACGGGCAGCCTGCAAATTCTCCCGGAAACCATACAGTGGTGCTAACGTGCTTTCCAGACGGTAGCTGCAGAGTCCCCAGGGATCCGCCACTAGCCTGGCAAACCACGTATCTGGTCTCACGGACACTTCAGCACGGCCAAGAGTTGCAGAGACGGAACCAATATAAACTCCCCAAGGCCCTCAGGAGCACAGGGGTAGGCTCTGGAGCTGGCTAAGCCTCTTCGGGCTGGCAGGCTGAGCCGAGCTACCTGAACCTCAGACTGACTGACTGCTGAGAATGCGGCAGCTGACTTGCTGCGATTTCCTCTGTGTAACGTGGTGCAAGGTCTTGCCGTGTGACCTTGTGACATCTTTGTTGGGACCCCCTTTTTTTGTTCTGGATTGTTCTTCCTTTCTCTGCTGTGACCTGCACTCCATGGGCCGGGCACGGAGAGGGATTCCTCTAGCAACACGACCCCTCTCGGTCCCTTTTCGTCCCCCTGTCTTGCCTCTCCCATTTCCCCCCTGGGCTCCGGCCTCCCATTCCCGTCACTGACTCTCGGGGCCGAGACAGCAGCAGACAGTCATTGAAGAGATGCAGGTGCACTGGCCGCGTGTTCAGCTTCCTCCGCAGCCCCGGGGACATGCTGAACTCCAGGGCTGCCAGCTCGCCGCTCTTCACCAGCCAGCGTGACTGCGAAATGAGCGGGAATATCTGCAGGGCAGGGGGGCGGACAGAGAAGGCAGTGTCACAGGCACGACAGGGCCCAGGCTTCCTCTCCACCCCGCCCTCCCCACCCCGCCCCTTCCTCATAAGCTCCGCTGACCAGCATCCCTCCCGCACCTTCCCCCTTGCTCAGAACTCATCCCATTAGACTCTGTGTCTCCGAGAACCGTCCAACTGTGGCCCTTGACTATGGCGCAGCTCCCCAGCCCACAGCCCAGGCAATGGAAGGCGCCGATGGCCCACCCCAGAGTAGTGACCATGTGAGAGAGCTCAGCCCCAGAAGCCTGAACTGAAGGAGACAGAAGAAGCCCAGTTAGGGCACGGGATGAAAGGCGGCAGAGAACACTACGTGTGTGTCTTAGAAGTTCAAAGATTCAGGCAGCTCTGACGTCGTCTGTTCTGTCTTTGATTATAAACAAACACCGAGGAGCTGCTGGAACCAGATGTGGGAATGAGATTAAGGAGAACGAGGTAGAATCTGCTTGGAGCTGGAATTTGAGTAAAGATCAGGGCAGAAACTATGATCGATATGTAGACAAGGGATGTTCCCTCTGGCGAGGAGGTAAGAATGACATGTTGTGAGTTAGAATTTAAATGTGACGTGTCCATTGCAGCTCTGCATCTGCAGGGGAGGTTTGGGCCCTGGATTTGGATCCAGTTTTACATCACTTTTGTCACAGTAGTCGGAGATGATAAAATAGTCACTGGTTGAGGCACCGACATATCTTTTATGAAGGCTTTCGTCATAAGTTCTCTCTCGTCTGCCCAGTTCCCCAATGCACACTCTGCCCCTCAGGTAACCTCTGTCCCTCATGTCTTACGTATCCTTCACGTATGTATGTACGAGCAAGCACACGTACAGGCTTGCACCCTCCTGCTTTTCCACCGCAGCCAGGACACACAGTCCTGTGTCCCCCCTTTCTCACTTAAGGAATCAGGAGAACGAAGCAAGATGGAACAGCAGCGTGAACACGTGAGGTCAAAGACGGGAGGGAAGGGTGGGCAGGAGGGGGCTCCGTGTTGGCAGGTGACCTGCAGTGCGCTCTAGACCCACGCACCTTGCACTCGAACTCAATCTTCTGGCTCAGGTAGATGAGCTCCTCCGTGTGGCGCATCCTCTGGACGTTGCTGTTGCAGTCTCGGATCAGCTGAGTGCAGAGGGGGGCGAGGGAAGGGGGACGGCTGCGTTAGAGGCTTGGTTTGACCCCTGAGTGGCCTGCAAGGAGCCTGGAAGCCAGCAGCTGTGACAACTGCCGTCTTTCCTCTCGGGCCTGAACTGCGTGAAGGCAGCCTCGAGTTAAAGTTCGAGGACGCTGTGTATTTGGTATGACACGATCAGCACTCCTGGGCCGAGTGAGAGGCAGATGGAATCTGGAGCCTGTGGCGGTGAGAGCGGTGTGCTCCAGGCAGGAGAAGAGGCTACAGGGCGGGCGGGAGGTGTGGGGTGCAGCGAGGGGCCTGGGCTGGACGGGGGGAGCCTTCCCCGGGAAGGGTGGTCGGGGGCCGCCTACCTCCTCCAGGGCGTGATGTGCCTTGGTGGCCTCTGCTTCCTCTGAGGAGCCGGGCTGTGTCCTCTTCAGAATGTTCTGTAGGACACACAGTGGACCCAGATGGGGGAAGGGTGGCAAACAGGAAGGGGGGCGCGGTGGGCCACGGGAGAAGTCCAGGAACGACATTTCAGGAGTAAATTCACGCTGAGGAAGAGGGTGTGGGCAGTGGCCGAGAGAGGCCTGAAATCACCGCTCCGAGTTGAGGGCAGAGGTCCCGGGCGGGGTCGGTACCTGGAGCAGCAGTTTGAGGCGGGTGATGCGCTGGAAAGGCAGAATCAGAAAGGACTTGAGGGACAGGCGCTGGCAGATGGGGTCGCTCTCCAGCTTCTCCAGGACGTCGCGGAAACTGCTGTTCGTGTTCCTGCACAGACAGCGAGCCCCAGGTAAAGAGGGAGCAGGGAACGGGGGTGGGCACAGTGTAGGCACCCCACCGAATGTCCGTGGGTCAGGAAAGAAGGGTGGGACCCCGTGTGCACAGGGGCTGGTTGGAATGGCTGAGGGTCTCCCGTCTGGAAGTGGGTTGGGGCTTGAGACCACAGGGTGCGGGGCCGAGAACATGTGCCCCTCTGGGTCAGGGGTTGGAGGTCTGGGTACAAGGTCGCCGCCGAGCCCGCATGGGGGCCGAACGGGGTTCAGGTCTCACAGCAGATTTTGGAAGGTGCGTTCCTGGTAGGTCTGGTTGGTGACGTAAGGCAGGTAGACCCGGCGGAAGTGGGAGGCGTGGTTCAGGACCACGTCGCACACGTGGAAGGTGAAGATGTTGTTCTCGAAGTTCTCCTCCAGGTCCGAAAGGAACCTGCGCAGTGTTCACACAAGTCTCCTGAGACCCGCCGGCCCCCAGGGAGCCGCTGGCTGGCCCCTGCTCTGCCTTGACCTTGTGACATCCCCGCGTCAGCAAACAGCTTCTATCAACTGCCCTTGGCTCTGCCCCCCATGCTGTGCATAAGTCTCTGGTCCCCATATTCTGTCTCTTGTTTGTTTGTTTGTTTTTAACATGTTCTGGTTTTCTGATCTGTAGATGCTTCCCGAATCTCATCTCCAGTGCACTGCATGCCCACAGAACATCCCAAACTCCCTCCCAGCAGGCGGTTCTCATTCATTTGTCCATCTACCAATGACCCTGTCCACCCCCCCCCCTCGTCTTCAGCGCACAGGCTAAAGACAGCGAGGCTGCAGGGGTGCTACGTGGGAGAGGAGGGACCTTACGTGGAGCTGACGTCACGCACGTCCTGTAACCGAGAGAAGAGCCACTGGTGTTCCTGGTTGGTGAGGGTGGGCCGGAGCTGCGCCGAGAGCTGGAAATGGTCCACAGCTATGTTCAGGCTGCGCAGGTACGAGGCCTCCGACACGATGAGCTCAAACTTGGCCTAGGGGGTTGGAGAGGAGGAAGCGTCGTTAGAAACAGTGTTGAGTCCCTGGTGTGTGTTTTCAGGGGACGGTGACATGCAAGACAGATCCTCCTGTCGCTCACCGTCACACTGGACCCCAACCTGATAGCGAGGGAGAGGGAGAGAGCGTGGAGGCGGAGGGGGGCACCTGTGCGAGCCCCCAGAGGTGTGAGAGAACAGGAGGCTTTCCGGAAACTCGAGCTGTGTGTTGTTGGAATCACGCACCGAAGTAGGGGCAGCAGATGACGCTGGAGAGGCAACGGAGCAGGGGTCTGGAGGTCTGTAAAGAAGTTTGGACTCCAGACCACGGGCAAGCGAAGGGGGCTGTACATAGGGGAATGACTTGGTCTCGAACATAGTCCTAAGCACAGTGTGGAGAAAAGATTAGGAGGGGCAGGGGGCTGAACAGGTGAGAGACGAAGGGCTGAACAGCCAATTGGACAGGGAGAAGGGGCCAGTTTCCTGGTTATGTGGCGGGGCGGGGGGGGGGGACGACACAGGGGAGGATTTGGTGAAGTTAGAAAAAGGCTAGAAAAGAGCAAGAAGAGTCACTGCTAACGCCCCAGTTTCTGAGGTCGGTAACTGGATGAATGATGGAGTCACTTCCCAAGCCAGAGAACTCTGAAAGAGGACCAAGTTTAGGGGATGAAGGCGATTCGGGGTCGGAGGACAAGTGGAAGGAAGCAGGAGTGTTGAGAACAGGATGGTGGTGCTGTGATTTCATGGAAATCATCCAGCACTTGAGGTTCCGGCGGAGGGGTGCAGTGACCCACGACCCTGCCCCCTGACACCTGGGCTGGTTATACCCTGGTCCAAGCACTCAGCGTCCAGACGGATGAGTGGATAGAACAGAGAAAGAAGGCACTTGCACATGGGAGTTGACCTGGAGAACCAACGCCACGGCCGGACGGCCCTCCGGTACGACCTCACCGAACCCGGACACGGGAGGCTCGCTGAACCTCCCAAAACCTGGTTCCTCGTTTCATACAAGGAACGTGACCCCCACCTCCCCAAGATGTAGCATCAGCCCAAAGAAATGGAGACCCCGGCAGTGTTCTTTGATGAGAGACACACGTGCTCCCAGACTCAGGGGCTTGATTTCTCGGGACGTGAGACTGGGCTGGCCCGAACCCCCGGCGGACCCTCGAGTGAGCTGGAGATGCTGAAGGAGAGGGGGGTTCGCCCCGTCTCCCCACTGCCGGGTCCACCGATCTCCAGCCGGTCAGGGGTTTTCTAAACAAGCCCAGGTGCTTTAAACATTGAGGTCAGAACAGGGTCCCCAAGTCTAAGCTTCAAAAAATCCTAAAACTTATACTTGTCTCTGTTTGACTCGGTAAAATCATTGTTCATCTGCAAGTCCCTTGGGCCAAATTTTCTCTTCCCCAGCTCTAAAGGGGAGAATACGGCAATACAGTATTTGACTAATACTTGTCAAACTCAGTCCACACACTAGGTTAACAGCTAGATATGTGTTACTTGGTTCAAGCTGCACGGCAGCCCTGAAAGGTAGGTGTTTGTTATCCTCAAATTTTAGATGAGAAAACCGAAGTTTAATATACCTTGCCTAAGTTTACACAGCTAGTAAACGGTGAAACCGGGCTTCAAACCCAGGTCGGGGAGCCCGGGAAGGACTGCCAATTAAAGCAGCAAACATTCTTTGAACGATTACTATGTATTAGAAACTTCTTCTTTTTTAACTCCCCCAGTACCTCGTCACAATGCAGTTTTACAAATGAGACAGATGCTTAGAAAGGGCATGTAACGTGGCCGGAGTCAAAGCGCCAGCAGCGATGAAAGTGGGGTCACTGCAGGTCAGTCCGTCCAAAGCCTCCGCATTTGCACATTATTCTGGGACACCTTTCCACTGTGCTGTATTGTCTTCCCGGGGAGCCGGGCTTACCCCACATCTCAGACTGACCGTCAGAGCTCTCCATGTGGAACCTGTTAGCAGCAGTCACTTGACCTCAGACATGCAGCCTCTACCACAGCCTTGCTCTTGGGAGTAAAGACCAAGCAGAGACTGGCGGGCATTCAAAAGCCTGGACAGGTCCGATGGGCCACAGGACAGGAGCAAGGGGCACTCAGTCTTGGAGGGGCCCCACAAACGGCCGCTGGATGTGCCTTGGTCAAAGAGGAACCCTCTAGTGGAGGGCTGAAGCCCTGGTCCAAGAGGGCGATTTCAGTCTCGCCTGAAACAGTAGTGGTGGGATTCACTCCACACTCCCCCCACCAAATCCAGAAGCACGGCCCCCTGGTGTGAGTCGGAACCGGTAATAGGTAGTAGTAGCGGGTGGCCCGTGGCTTCAGGAAGTGGGGAGGCAGGATGGTGGGGACCCTGGGAGAGCAGAGTCCCTCCAAGATGGCATGCACAAGTGTGTGCTGGTGGGGGCGGTGCTCAGCGGGAGATGAGGGCGTGACCAATGAGATGCTCTCCCTCCGGTTCCCCGGGCCCCTGCCCCTCCACCCCGGCCCTGCCGGGTACCTCTTGCAGCTTTTGGTCTTCGTGGGTCATGGAGAGCAGCGCGGTGCTGTTGCGCACCACAGGGATCTCCTGCCACAGGGAGCTCTGGGAGGCCATGGAAAGATGCTGCAGGTAGGACTCCGAGGACACCAGGGCCTTCCGGGGCTGCCGCGGGGAGGCGAGCCCAGGGGCCTCTGCCAGGCCGTCCAGCCGCTGCTGGCTCTGGATCTCCTTGTTCAGAACCACATCGCTGTACTCCTGGTACAGCAGCTGGGCTGGCGGGGAGAAGAAGCGTGGGAGAGGGAGAGCATTAGGGAGTGGGGCATTCAGGCACAGACAGACACAAGCCACCAGGCTGCTTCCGGCTGTCCTGGCACCTCCCGCTTCCCCGCTGTGACAGCCTCGAGCCTCCTCCAGTCCCGGGCGGCAACCCAGGAGCATCGACAGATCTGTTCAAGGTACTCACAGGAGTTGATGAGCTTCGAGCAGCGTCTTGAAAAGCCTCCCATCACCTCCTTTGGCTTCTTCTCCCTGTGGAGCAAGGAAGGGATGCTTGCTGGCCATTCGACCCAGAGAGGCCTCGGTGACTGTGGATGAGGTCGTCTCTGACCCCTGGGACACGCACTGGCACGGCAGGGCCAAGGCCCCTGGGGAGGCGAGTTGGAGCCTGACCCACTGTGGGGCAGTCTGGAGCTGTTTTGGAAGTCATGTTGATCTTTTACAAGGGGGCTAGTTCATGGCCAAAGGGCTTAGGGGGATGGAAAATTAGGACTCGGGTAACAAAACCAGGTGGATCAAGGGTCTCCCTACCCTGGAATCCTGGGGTTTTTTTCTTCCTCCTGGAAGGGACAGGGTCTCAGATCCCTTGTCAACTAACAGAAATCTCAGAACCCTAAGACAAGAGAGAAGAAGTGTGCCTGCGGGAGAGAAGGCGACTCACCGAAAAATGATGGTGTCTGAGGAGCCGAAGGACCTTTCCGGGGCTGGACCTCTTGTATCTGAAAATGGGAATGGGTGGAGTGACTGAGGTCTCCGAGGGACACTCACAGAGAGCCGAAGGAGGTGAGACATGGAGGCATGGGGGGGTGGGGGTGAAAGGGCTCCAGTGGAACCTGGGATGGAGCGGAGGGCCAAAGCAGAAAGCATTTGAGGACCTTACGGCCAGGTACGGACACACCATTAGCTGGACAACCAGAGGGTGTCTTCTCTGCTGTGAGCAGGACGCCAAGCAGGTGTGGGGAGGGGGGCGGTGTCCAGACCACCGTAGGGAACAGACACACAGTATAAGAAACTGTGGTGACATGCAGACAGAGCTGGAGGGGAAGGAGAAGCAAGGGCGCCGGTGGGCTCAGAGAGGCTTTCAAAGGCTTCCCTGTGTTGGGGTTGGACACATGGGTGAGTGAAGCCCGTGAGGGGAACAGGAGGGGCCCTGGACACAGACGCCGGGCGTGGTAAGGGCTTCGGAAAGCCTGGCCCGAGGAGGGCCCCCTGCTTACCTGGAGTGCCCTCGGGTAAGATGGAGGGTCTGCGCAGGCCCTGCCGATGCCAGCCCTTGGGCTTATTCGAGGCCTCAACGGAGGCCTCAGTCTGTCCACTGCTGCCCTGCGGCGGTCTCCCCGGGTCCCCTCTGTGGGGCCAGCTGGACGCCTTCTCCAGGTGGGGATGGCCGGGCTTTTCAGGCTGCCTCGACTGACCTAGATCCGACCTCCTCAGGCCATCGGCTCCTTCCGGGGGGGCTGCTCTTCTTAGAGAGCCCCTGGCGGGGGCCTCTGCCCCTCCCGAGAGCCCTGGTTCACAGGCGGGTCCCTGGACCGCGAGGATCCAGGGCGTGGTTGGGGAAGAGGGGCCCGGAAAGCCCGCCGTGTTGCTGAAAGCCATGCCAGGGGACGCTTCCCTCTTACTCCTGCTGGTAGGAGCCAACGAATCTGTCGACCGGCCCGTAGCTGGCGGCCAGGAGGTCCGTCCGGCAGAGTGGGGGCTGGAGACTGTCCACTCTTGACCAACAGGCCTCGACTTGGCTTGGCCCCCTGAATTCATGAGCGCTTCCTGGACGCTCTTGGTCCTCCCCCGGGACTTCGGGGGCAGCGGGGGTGGTTCGGTGAGAGGCTCCGGGACAGGGGCGGGGCGAGGGGGCCGGTAGACCCTGGGGCTGTCGTCAAGAGGAAGGGAATGGCGGGGCTGGAACGAGTCCGGGGTCGGGGGTAATGGCTTGTTGTATCTCAGCCTCGTGGAGAAAGAGGTCTGGGCGTGGGGGGGCTCGTCTGGGGTAGAGGGCAGCGGCCGGTACTGCCTCGCCACAAGGGGGTCCGGAACTTTGGGGAGCGGGCCCTTGCGGGGGCCACGCGGCCCTGGACTTGGGGCCGACGGAGGACAGCTGCACCGCCTCAGGGTGGGGACCGGCCCGCTGCGGTGACCGTCTGTCTCCGCGGTGGAGGGGCGGACGTGCCTCTTCTCTGGGAGAGCAGGGGGTGCGGGTTCCTGGGGCCTCCCATCTACAAAGGCGAGGGGGGGCGAAGAGCCATAGGCAGGCGACCCTGGGGCAAAGGCTGCCATAGGGGTGGGGCCCCAGGGCTGGCGGCTGTGGAGGCCGCTGGGCCTGTCTGGACTGGACGTGAATTCTCGAGAGTCCTGCCCCAGAGCAGGCGAGGAACCGGAGGCTTCTGGAATAACGCCGCAGTGCCCAGTGCTTTTCCCGTCCCTTCTTGAGATCGCAGAGCCACAGACGGCAGGCTTGGGGGGCCTCTGGGGCAGCTCTGAATGCAAGAAGGAAAGGGATACTCCCTCGAGGTCCGGAGTCAGCTGTGTCCTCCGGGAGCCCGGGAAGGAGTTGCTCCTCACGTGGGGGACGACGGCCCCTGGGAAGCTGGCCAGGGGGCTCTGGGGGCTGGCGCAGTCGGAGCTGCCACCCGGGTCCACCGCGGCCTCTGCAGAGGGGGAGCGGAGGAGGGGGGCTGGGCGAGGCTCGGAAGCCCCACCGGGGGACGGGCTGCTGATGGAGAAGGTGGCTCTGGAGACTTCTGGGGAACACGAAGCAGGAGAGGCCTTTTTCCTGGGGATGGCGATTGGCCGGCTGGCAGACGGGGAGGCTTCCCCGGGTGTGACAGGCACAGAACCTGGTGTCCTTGGAGGAGTCTCGGGCGCGCTGCCAGAGTCCACCTCGGCCCCCCTGCTGGATGCGGCCCTGGTCCCCAGCTCGGGTCCCTCCTGCTGGCTGTGCGGAGCTGTTTTGTGGTCAGGTGACCCCGCAGTGGAAAAGGGCTGAGGGGCACTTCCCATGGGCTCCAGTGCGGGAGTCAGAGCTACGGGAGGCGGTCGCTCAGCCGGAAGCTCCGTCTGAGTCCCAGGAACCCTGGGTGCGGCCTGGCAGGCGCCTGGAAACAGGTCCCCACCGGGAGAAGAGGTCTCGGGGGCTGCCAGGGCCAGGGCGGGGGGGCCGTCAGGCTCTTCCCCCTCTTCTGTGCCGCTCTCTGCCTCCTCTGCCCACAGCGCAGCGCCATTCCAATCTTCTGCCTCCTCCTCCTCCTCTTCCTCGTCCTCCTCTTCCTCCAGCATCGGTCCCGCTGGCACACCCCCACGTCCTTGCCTTCCAGGTACACTCACTGATCCCCCCACTACGCTCTGATTCTCCGGGTCCTGCGCATCCACCCTGCCCTCTTCTGGGCCCCTGCACCCCCTCTTCTTCTGTTCCCCCACCTCCGGGTCTTCCTGGCCCCGAGTGCCCCCCGGCCACTCATCACAAGGCAGACCCCCCAATTCTGCCTTAAGCCCCTCCCTTTCTCCTTGTTTCGAAGGCATCGCGTCATCTTGCGTCTGCGCCTGTTTTTGCCCCTGTCTTCCCTCCATACCATTCACCTGCTCCCCCACCCGTCCCTGCTCCCCAGGAAGCCCGGCCGAGCACACGGCTTCCCGCAGAGGCTCCCCCGCCCGACAGCCCGCTGGCTCCTGTCCCTGCTCCTGTCCCTGCTCCTCTGGAGCTCCCTCAGCCCCCTGCAGCTCCTGCCCCTTCCTGAGGGTCCCGCCCTCGGAGCCCGGCAGCAGGATGGTCTCTGCAAGGCACTCTTCATGGGAAGGTGGACCTGAGAGCTGAGCAAGGCCACGGGGGGAAGTCTCCTCGTCCGCCTCTGCGTGTCCAGTCCCCGGCGTCAAAGCAGGGAGCTCTGGTCTGGACTCCTCTTCCAGTGTCCTGCTCAGTGCGCTGGGCACCGGGGCCATGGGCGGAGGCTTCCTCTGGCTGGGGCAGGCTTGGCACTCCAGGGGGGCTGCAGCCCTTGGCTGGCTCTCTGCCCAGCTCTGGGACTCTGCCTCCTGGCACTCGGGAGTGGCCCAGGCCTCAGCGGCAAGGTTTTCCTGGCTGGTCCCCACATCCACAGGGCCTTCCTTGGGGTAGCAGGTCACGCTCTGCGTTCCACAGTCAGTCTCGTCTCTTACATCCCCCTGCTGGGTCTCCACAAGTTGGCGCCCCTCTGCCCACTCACAGGACGGCTCCCGGCCTTCCTGAGTTTCGGACCCCATGGCGGGGGTCTGGCTGGTTCTCGTGAGCTCTTCAGGGGAGACGGTGAGTTCCGCTGTGGCAGGGATGGGAGCCGGTGCTCCGGGTCGGGGCTCCTCAGCCTCCATCGGGGCTGAACCCTAAAGAGGAACAACAGACAAGGTCTCACCACCTCTGTTGCCTTCACCAGTCAGGGGGGCAGACCATGGGGAATGAGAGTAGGACACATCCTGGGCTCCACAGACAGTCATTCTCGGAGACACCAGCTACTGAACAAAATAAGCAAAAACTTGTCATCTGGCCCTGGCCAGCATGGCTCAGTGAGCTGAGCACCGGCCGGCAAAGCGAAGGGTCTCTGGTTGATTCCCCGTCAGAGCACAGGCCTGGCTGGTCCAGGGCAACTGACCAATGCTTTTCTCACGCGCTGATGTTCCTCTTCTTCTCGTTCTCTCTCCCTGCCCCTCTCTCTAAAAATAAATGAAATCCAAAAAAAAAAGAACCCCAATTGTCATGTACTTTTTCACTTCATCAACACTTAGCAAGTGACCCTTCAAGCCCAGGGCATTCGGTAGTGAACAGGACAGTGCCCCGGAGCCTGCAGTCTGGGGGTGATGAGCGATTACATCGGGGATGTTAAGAGTCCGGTTGTGGGAGTCCCAGTAGCTCCAGTGGCCATCGGTGTCTAGATGGAATTATGTCTCATTGTGTCTCCCTGTCTACTCTCTGGACACCACAAGTGACTCAGTCCTACTTAACTCCAAGGCACTGGGAGCAACACACCCCAGGTCTAATAGCCCAAGAAGCCACGTCGGAGGGGAATCTTCCTCCTCATCTGCCAACGGGGGATTAAAACACATCCAGTCATCAGAGCCTGCATTGGAGGCAAGGTGCCACGGGTGCACGCCTTTCCCAGGTCTGGGTCGCGCCCAGCCTGTCTCCCATGGTGTCCAAGCACAGCCTTGCTCCTAAGGAACAACTTCGTTCTCAGTTGCAGCGGCAGCTGTTATAACGTAGACATGGCTGACTAGATGAGACCCTCAGTGGACACAGAGGCTGCCTGTTTCAAGTAGGTCAATAAAACTGTTACCCTCGTTATCACACTCTCCCCTTCTCTCTAATAACCTGGTGAACCTTTCTTGTGGCTTCTCAAAATTTTGACCTTCCCTACCCGGTTCTCACCTCCAGCAAATACTTCCCAAGGTATTGAGACACTGAAAGACAGGAATTGTTTCAGTTTCTTGCAATTCGGAGCGATGGACATTGAGTTCTTTCCATCTTCCCCCTCTGACGGTGCAGGGGTCCCTCCCCATTTAGCCCCAGCCCCCTTAGCTGTCCTGCAAATGGGAGGTCATCCCATGGGCCACCTCTCTCCCGCCTTCGCCTGTTAGAACCGTCTCACCAGCATTCAGGCACGCTCACGCTCACGCCTTCCTCGTTGTTCTAACCTGTAAAAGGAGCTGTTCACACCTGCGGCCTTCAGAGCCTCACACCTCGCCACACGGCACTGGCTCGCTTACCTCTCTGCTGGAGTCCTCCCCACGTGTGGCCTTACTTTTCTCACACTCACTGCACTTGTAGTTACACAGTTAATGTCTGTTTTCGGGGCCAGACCGTGAGCTTTATGAGGGCGCAAACATTGCGATACTAACCACTTGATATTGCATGCATGCATGAAGAAAGGAGGAAAGCAGAGTTAAAAGAGTGTTGTTGTTCAATTTCCAGTTCTGCCTTTTTTGTTATCCTGCTGATCTGAAAACACTTGCGGAAATCATTTCATTTATTCGAGCATCCATTTTCTTATCTTAATAAAGGGGATAACATGCTTCCTTTGCAAGGAGTTCTCATAAAAAGTAAGACAGTGTGCAAAGTGCACTGTTAAGTTGAAGGGCCACAGAAGTGTTAGGGATTGTAATTACTGTTGACGAGAGAAAAAGTGTAAGAGAGACGTACAGGGCTTACGAGCTGGAAGGACCTTTAAAGAAAGACAGAAACTCGGCCGAAGCCACAGATGAGGGAACTGAAGGTCCGAGAATCTGGACACTCGGGTTTGCTGCGCAAAGGGCACAGGTGAACTCAGACCAAGGTCTTGTGACAAGTCAACACTCAGCAGCCAGAAGTTCAGGGATGAGAAAGGCGGAAGGTGGCGGCCTTCAGAGACTGCGGGTGCCTGTGGGACCACGGCTGCGCCTGGCCCTGCGCCCTCCTGCCTGAGCTAGGCTTCATGTGGTGGCCCGCCACCCAAAACACCTACTGTACTGCTGAGGTACTACATGTGCGCACATGCCTGCACAAGCACACATCCACACGCATGTGCATGTGCACACACATGATGAGCCAACCTTGCAGTTTCTACACAGAGACTGACATAACCAAATCAGCAGGTCCCTAGACACCCTGCAGATGTGACAAGTAAGTGACAAGTTCCCGGCCACCCTACAGGCACAGATACCATCTATATGGGGCAAAACCCCACTGTGTCTAACGTAAGCATACTTATGTAGAAGGGCTCTTAGCCCTGGCTGGTGTGGCTCAGTGGATTGAGTGTCAGCCTGTGAACCAAAGGGCCACTGAATCGATGCCCAGTCAGGGCATAGGCCTGGGTCGCAGGTTCCCAGTAGGGGGCGTGCCAGAGGCAACCACACACTGATGTTTCCCTCTCTTCCTTCCCCTCGCTCTAAAAATAAATAAATAAAAATCTTTAGAAAAAAAGGGGGGGGCTTTCATACTCTTTTCCAGTGAATTGACGCGGTGCAAGATTTGCCCCCCTCTATCTAGCCCCAAGGACAAAATACTATAATCACTACAGAGGATCCTGGGACGTGACCCGATTTTCTCACCCACACGTGAAATAACAGGCTTGCTCCACGTAAACACGTTGAGATTCTTGGTTCGCACCTGCCTAAGGAACAGCGCAGCTAAACCCGAAGTCCCCGCCAGCCCCCGCCCCACCGTCCTGGCCCCACCCCCACCGACTCTGCCGTGTCCTCAAAACAAGCGGTCTCTGAACATCTGAGCCTGTTTCTGCCACGTGTGTGTGCACGCCACGTGGTGGCGGACACCTCCAGTTCCATGCTCGTGACACAGCACACACCTGCCTCCGGCAACCCCGCTGACACTATTGCTGACACTATCTTTATCCGTCTGGAAATACTGGAGGTCACCGGCTCAGCCCCCCCTCCCTTGTACTTGACCCTGCCCTATCACAATTCTACTGCATTCAGGCACTGCAAACCTAGAACGCGGCAAAGCGAAAGGAAATGCGTAAAGCCGATTCACACAAAAACGTCAGGAGAGAGCCCCCGCACTACGCATTGTATTACAGTGGCCTCCTCACCCCCTTCTCCCCTGGGGGGCGCGTATCACTAACTGAGCGCAGGCAAAGGCAGTGGCAGTGGCTGACCCCGTCCACGTACGTCCACGTGCGACTTCAAGACAAAGCTGCAAACCACCCCGTTAAATCAGTGTACGACACAGCTCTGCATCTCCCTTGGCGTCCCTGACACCTCGGCTTTTGTCCATTTCTAGCCCAATTTTGTCCAATGCAGACACAGGACTGCATTTCAAAGAGAGCCCCCTGCCCCCACCCGCACTGCACTGCTGCTTCTGCTTCTCTGGGCCCACGCAGACCGCAGCTCTGAGGACCGGGCTCCCTGGATTTTCTAGCAGTGACCATTTCAAATATTCTGAGTGACGCCCCAAGTCTCTGAAACCCTGGAGATCACAGCACTTCTGTACTCACACTGTATCATCTAGACTGCCGCTGCCCTTAGGAAAGTACCCCCCGGATCCGAAGATCTGTTCTCATTCTGATGCAGACAATGAGCCTCCACACAGGCGGATGCCTTTATTCAGTGCTGATGTTGCTGCCCCCAAGGCTACAGAGGGGTTGAAATAAGCTCTACGAACACTACACAGATATAAAAAGTGACTGCGAAGCCCTGTGTCTCGTCCACTCTAGGGAAGCCCCACCGTCCCGGTGAAGCTGTCATAACCCTCTCCCATCTAGTTCCCAGCATCTGGAAACGCCGCCGTGTCCACTGCCCCGTAGGCCTGACGGGCGCCCACGGAACGGCATGCATGACATGTGGACACGTGTCCCACAAGCCCACTGTGGCGCCACCGCCATCCGCACGGATAACAGGAGTGTCTTCAGCACAACCCCTGAGGGTGACCAGATGCTCTGGCCCACCTGCAGACACTAGAAGTGACCAGCTCCTGTCCACTCCACAGACGCAGTGAGTGACCAACGCCTGACTGCACCTGATCGGTCCACACCACGGACACTTGAGTAACACAGCTCTTGCTCGACCCGTGACCCTGTGAGTGGCCCCTTCTTGTCCACACCACAGTGACTAACCACTCCAGACACCACAAATGACACCTTCTCGTCTGTTCCACAGACGCCGTGTTGATGTGGCCACAGACAACCTCAGACAGACCACACCGTGGGCAGCCATCCACCCCAGGGACCCCTAACACCTCCTGGCTCCGGACTAAGTTTAGACACATGCTGTCTCCTCCAAGGAGGGATTCCTTTGCACACCTCCTGACCTCTCTCCCTTCCCTACCAGGATAATGACATACATTCCTCCTGCCAGACGGTCTCACTCAAAATTGACACCCACACCCTTCCTCTGGCCAGCCCCACCCTCCCGAGAGCCCCCTCAGGAGAGACGGCTTCAGTGTCAGGGCCACAGACTGGCTACCAAGGGCCCTCGTTTTGCTAGGACCTACCTAGGCCAGGAGCTTCTTCACATGCTGGGTGCAGGGAAAGAGGGAATCTGGGAAATGGGCCACATCCTGAGCCTTTGGGCACGGAGCTGGGGCTTCTGGAGTAGAGGAGGGGTCTTGGAAGGCCGTGGGGGGGGGCAAAAGAGGGAAGAAGCTGGAAAAGAAAGCGCTCTCTCTCTCCCTTGTCTGTTTGACACACCCCTCTCCCTCAGTCTGACGAGTCCTGGCCAGAGTTCACTTCTGGTAGACAGGAGGGCAAGTCAGTCTGGGGAACCCAAGATCCGGGAAGGGGAGAGGGGCCGAGGTCTCAAAGCCCAGGGGCCTCAGGACTGGCTCTCTGAGGGCCGTCTTCCTGGGAGGCAATTTTCAGTGATGCTCAGAACTAGACCCCCCCCCCCCCCCAACTTCTAACTCTAAACAGCTCCCTTCCCACCTCCCCAAGTTCCCAGCACAGTACTGTGATGGACACGGAGCTTTGGAATTATTCCCCAGATGCGGGGAATGAGGGGAGGGAGACAGAACCCACTTTACAGGTGAAAACACCCCGGCCAGAAGGGCAGGGGTAAGGACTTAGACACAATGTTCGAAGCCGTAGGAAGGTAAGTGAAGGCAGGCCCGGGCCTAGTGAGGAAAAAGGAGACAATGAAACATCTGCAGGTGGGGAATTCGTCCACAGAGGGAGCCGCAGTTATTCCTTATTATAGGGACTAGCTTTCAGGAGACCCAGACTTTGAAGAGTTTTATTACTGGCCTGGGGGACCTCTGGGGGCAGGGTGCCCATTTCCACGGCGGGACCAGGCCGAAGCGAGCATTTCGGGCAAGAGCATTCCCTCCAGCTTCCCTCCTCTTCCTCACCAGGATACTCGGCCCCACGCCCCGTACTTGGCCCATCTGCCCAGCCCCCCCATTTCCGGAGCCTGCGTCTGGGGACCGGGCAGGGGCCGGCCCCAGGGCGAAGGCCTAGCTTCCCGGTCCTTGGCGTCCCTCGCTCACCTCCGCCGGGGCGCTACAGCCGCCCTCCCCGGGCCAGGAGCTGCGAGGGGGGCAGGGCACCCACCTGGGCACTGTCACATGCTGTCCCGCACGAGGGTCCCTCCAGGTCCCAGGCGCCGGCCGGCCGTCCCCAGCGCAGGCCCCGGCTGCCTCGGCCGCCCCACCCGCGCCCGCCCCTCCCCGCCCGGCCGCGAGGGAGGGACCTGGTTCTCCAACAAGTTTCAGGTGAGGAAACCAGGGACACACCTTCCAGGGGGAGGGGCAGGGCCCGGCGGCGCCGCGGCCCCATTGGTGTGGAGGGAGCGCCCGCGTCACGGCTGGGAAGTGGCGGCCCGGGGCAGCCCCGGGCGGGCGGGCGCACGGGGCTGGCGGCTGCGGCGGGGGCAGCGGCCCGCGGCGGTGACCCGAGGAGGAGGGGCCAAGAAGGCAGCGGGCGCGGGGGGCGCTCCTGGGCCCCTGCAGGTCTCTGGACTCTGCCTGGGCGCCTCTTCCCCCTGGGTTTCTCCAGGTCTCCACCTGAGCCTGACTCTGGGACGTGGCCGCCGGCCTCCCGCGCGCTTATCGGGGTCTCTGGCCGTCTGAGCTTCGCGCGACTTTGGTTCTCGCTCGGAGTGAACGTCTCTGCCTTAGCCTCCCTGTGAGTCCCTGTGTGGGGAAGGCTCCATCCTGAGTTCTCGCCCTCCCCTCCCTCCGCGGCCATCTCCTCGGGGCCTAGGAGCGAGCATCTCTAAGCCAGCTCGCCCAGGTCTTTCCTCTTTGTACCATCTGAGTTCACCATGGGATGATTACACACCTCGGGGTGTGTCTTCCTTCCTTCCGTCTTCTGCCGGGACCTCTGAGAGAGAGACAGAGAGAGTGTGTTTGTGTGTGTCTGTGCCATCCCCCTGTTTTCTCCCGATTCTTTCAGGGAGAGCTTGTATTCTGTGGGTCTGAGTCCAAACCTGAGTGGGCCTACCTACAGTTACGCCTCTCCATAGACTTCAAAAGTGCCAGAAAGTTCTGTGGTGCAGCCACAGACACACAGTGAGGACCTCTCACTTAGGAGACTGAGATTGCTCTTTTTAAAAAATATGCTTATTTATTTTTAGAGAAGGGAAGAAGAAAGAGAGGGAGAGAAACATCGGTGTGTGGTTGCCTCTCATGTGCCCCCTACTGGGGACCTGGCCTGCAACCCAGGCATGTGCCCTGACTGGCAGTCGAACTGGCCACCCTTTGCTTCACAGGCCCGTGCTCAATCCACTGAGCTACAGCAGCCAGGGCACAGCTGGTCTGAAGGTTGTGGGTTATTGTTCAGCTGTTTTGTTCGTAGGAATGCCACGATCCCTAAGCCCAAACAGCTAGAGGGGCAGAGCATTTCCAGATCACTGTGCACTGAAGCCAGCTGGCCCTGCCTACTAGGTTTTTGAAGGGGGGGCATTAGGATAGTTGGTCATGAAGGCAGAAAGGTGTCTTCTCCCATCCAAGTACTAACCAGGCCCGACCCTGCTGAGCGTCCGAGATCTGGTGTGTTCAGGGTGGTGTGGCCGTAGACAGAAAGGTGTCTTCCCAAATAAAGCCCTGAAGCATCTCTATGTTCAAAGAATGTGCTACCCCAGTCACACTACTCTGAGGGATTAAGCCCTAAATTCGGCAGCCTTCCGCCCACCCTACGCTGCCACAGGTAGGTGTGGGGAGCAGTGCGGGAAACCAGGACTAGGGAGTTCAAGCAGGCAAGAACAGGCCTGGCCTGCATGTAAGCTCAGCAGTGGGATAAAAGGTGAGTGCAGTGAGTCAAAAAGTTCATTGCAGCATTACTGATGGTAGCCAGGATGTGGAAGCAACTTGGGTGTCTGCTGAGAGATGACTGGATAAAGATCACACACACACACACACACACACACACACACACACACACACACACAGGAATATTACGCAACCATAAAAAATGAAATCTTGCCATTAGAGATAACATGGGTGGACCCAGTGGGTACTGTGCTGAGATAAACTAAATCAGACGGAGAAAGATAAATACTGTATGGTCTCACTTAGTTGTGGAATCTAAAAAAAGGAAAGCCAACGGACAAATAAAACAAAATAAGAAATTAAAACCCAGGCTCATACAGAGAGTCCACAGCCATGGTTGTCAGAGACGAGGGGCCTGAGGAGGTGAGTGGAAAAGGTGAGGGGGAACGTAGGCAATGGTACCGTGTGGTTGCACAGAGACGGGCGATTATTAGAGTCGGTGGGATGACCGTACTGCAAGGCTAGCGAGCCCCAGGTTGCAGGCCTCTGCTGTTCCGCGCTGCCTCCCGGGAGTGGCCCTGACCTCGGAGGCGGAGCTGGCCTGCCTCCCACAGCAGCCTGGCTGCTCTTCCGGCTCCTGCCAGCTCTGACCTATCAGCGTTGTTGTTTTTGTTTTTGTTTTTCAAGGCACCGCCCTGGCTTCAGTGATCTCTGGGCTCTCACCCAGACGTTGCAGCCTGCAAGGCTTGACCTGGCTTCTCAAGCGGGAATGAGATGTAGGAGTTAACACTTACCTCTGAGGGAGTTAGCTCCTGTGGGGGCCGTGCCTGTCTGTCTGCAGGGCCCTCCACACTCCCCTTCCCTTCACTTCGCCAACTGTGATTCTACTTTCTTTCTTATTTCTTGATACTTTCTCTTCGTGCCTGGCCTTCTTAATCAGGCCTGTCACCCTGTCCTAATATGTTGATAGAGAAATACAGTGGCCTTCTCTCAAGCAGGAACTCATCAGAGCTGTCCCAGGGGCTCTCGCTGCCCTGACCAGATAGCCTCCTGGGGACACCAACCTGTTGTTGGGGGGCAGTCTCCCGCCTGGTTAACGCCGACTCTCAGCGAATCCGGCGTTGGTTCTCTGAACGCTGCTCCGGCCTTCCTGACTCTCCTTTTTGCCTGATCCCATGACTTACCTTTGAGTTGATTCTGAAGTCAGTTCTTTTCTGCGCTTGGCTGACTACGGTCTCTCCATCTTCCTCCTTGAAGTCCACCTGACCTTCACTTGGCTGCTATGGTTCTTAGCCATCCGGTTCCATTCTGATGAGCATATTTTTTCTTTTCTCATCCTTTGCACATTGTCCAGAGCCTAAATGTAGTGATAGTCAAGGGATAAGTACTAAGCGCCTCATTCATTTACTTGATATGCTTCTTAAGAAACCAGATATACAACTACCAAGGCTCTGCCCCCCATCCCCAAGGAACAGAAGAGAAATACAAGAAGCAAATGATGACAGCTGAGCGTGGTGGGTGTCACGGTGGGACTCACGCCACGTGTGATGGTGGCGTAAAGCAGGGAGCGCTGCTTGGGGAATAGGAGAAGGCTTTATGGATACAGTGAAGTCTAAGCTGACTTGTCTTAAGAAAGCGCTCCGGCCCTTGGTGGAGAGCAGGACAGAGGAAAGGCACACCAGAGGCAGGCCTGGATGTACAAAAATGGAAACCTGATCACCTTCTGTTCGGGGAAGAGAGACAGGTGTGGGCCTAACGTGAGGTGGGCGAAGACATGGCAGAGAAGAGAAAGAAAAACAGGGCCGCGGTGTGTGGTGATGGCCACGTGCAATTAGCTTCGTGGTGATCACTGTGCAACGCACATGTATATCTGAATGTCAGTTGTACACCTTACATACACACCGTACTTGTCCATTGTACCCTGATAAAATGGAAAAAACGCCTTTAGAGGAGCCACATCTCTGGAAGTAGGGAGTCCAAACTCAGCAGCACGCATGGCCGGCGAGCTGCTCGTGACCGGCTGGCTGCCTGGCCACACGGTCCCCACGTCTGACCACCAGGAACAAAGAAAGGGTCTCAGTTCCTCCCTAGTTGGTCCAGTGCTGTCCTTCCCTTCGCTAGAAAGTTCCTGGCTTTGTCCCTCATGTCAAGTCCTTGATGTCCATTTCTGGAAGTGTCCTGCCCCCGCTATCCAAGTCCCCAGCGGCTGTCCCGGTGGCTGTATAAGTAGCCTTTCCTCACTTTCATCCTTTCTCACTTTCCCCCATTCTTCCAGTCCCAGTCACAACCCCCACACCTGTCCGCCTCCTCAGAGGGGCCCAGAGGATCCCGCTGTCACTGTGTCCCTGGGCTTCCCCTGTGAGGAGAGAGGTCCCGGTGACAAAAGAGGGAGTGACCAGTTACGAGGGCTGTGTCACAGTTCTCATTGCCAAAGCATGAAAGACACCCTACTAGAGACGAGGATAAAGATGAACAGAGAGGCAAACGCCAGTCACATCAAAAGAAACACCCTTCTGATTCCCTTAGGGTACAAATATTCTGGGCTCCAGAGTTCCAAGACAGGGATATTGAAGGCACTGAAGCCAGAGCAGCGAACCTTAAAAAGAAAAGCAGAGGTAGGAGGACAGTTCAGTCCTGTCCTTTTCAGAGACGGCCGAGCAGCCAGAGAGGATGTGACCGGAAAGATCCTGCTCCTGGCTCCCCGGCGGTGGCCCGCAGGGGTCTGCGTCCTCTCCCGACCACTCAGGCTACCAACTGAGGTTACTGAGAACTCACTTTAGATGGTCTGTATTCGTGATACCATTTTACTATGCAGAAATTCAAGGTAGGGTACGCTCCTTGTGGTAATATAAAAGGCAACTATGACACAGACTTTGTTCCTAAAAGAACTTGGAAAATTCAGATGGAAATGGTCAAGTACTATTCTACAGCAATCTCTAATAAGCAGAGAGAGAGAGAGAGAGAGAGAGCTGAAAATAATAATAATACCAGAGAAATTCAAAGGACAGTCTAGCTAACATGGGCCAGAGTGGTAAGAAAGACTTAACTGAAGAGTTGACTCTTGCTTGAGCTTCCCACAGGGAGGAAGTGTGGCTGTGGGAGATACATTTCCATGACAGGTGATGCTCTGCACCACTCCCCAGTACCCAGCCTCCATTCCTAGCACACAGGTGCGCAACGGTAGAAAGAGCAGCATTTTGCAAAAGGAGTGAGTGGTCTGAAAGCTGAGTGTGAAGCCTTGAGACGCCGACTCGGGTATGTGCGGAGGTGGCGGAAGGCATTATTACGTGGAACAACCTTCACCCTTTTCGCCTAAATCACCCTGCACCAGGGCGTTTTTGCCCAATGTGCTTCTTTGATGGATTCGCCAAAGCACACTCGGGATTTGGTGCCCCATCAGAAGTATACCTCGGATTTCTGGTTCCTGAAGGTTTCCTGCTTGGCAGAAGTTATAGCGCCATCTTGTGGAATAAATGGTTTTGCTCATGGTCTTTTTGGTCTGAAAAGAATGGTTGTCTTCTGAAAAATCAGTCTTGAAACACATTCTTGGCTCTAAATAATTCTTGAAACACACAGTTTCTGAGTAACTAAAGATTTCTCACATCTTCTACACCTCGGGTGGCTGAATCCGCAGCTCCTGCTTTCTTGTTTTCAGAATAATCACACATACTAGGATCTAATATTCTCCCCATCTCAGGCTGCTTTATTTCGTCTGTGTGCTTCAGGCTTGGCTTTTAACCATGTCCAAAGGGGATTGGTCTTCTTTGAATTGAGCACAGTAACTCTAAGCTGCCAGTGAAAATAAGGATAATAAAGGAAGAAATAATGGGTGCCCTGGTTTTTATCTGTCTCCGCCAGAGAAGTTGGGCAAAGGAGGTCCTTTAATTTTTAGGAGCTGAAGCACTGGAATGGGTGCATTCCAGAGAAGAATACACAGCTGCCAGAAATGTACAGAACCATTCCCTGGAAATGTTGGCGGGGGAGGAGGGTGCCCTAATAAAAATTCCTGGGAAAATGTTTCGTTTAGAATCATCAATTCATGGAATCATTGAACAACTAGTGAGACTTTTAGACGCTCTGCCCTCCAGGGGAGGGGAAACAGGCCCAGTGTTTCGTGACTCGTGGAATTGCGTTCCTCGTGGAGGTTTGGGACCGAAGGGTCTAGGCCTTCCTTAGAGTTTAAGGCTGCTGTAAATTTCGCAGAATTTAAAAACAATCTGTTTTAACTTTTTAAAAAAAGCATGTTTAGAAAAAATTATACGTGAAAAGTGCAAAAGTGTGCAATTCCCCTTTCACGCACATCCCTCAGCTTTCCCGCTCTCTTTCCTGCCCACTCCCATATTACAAGTTGTTTGTGAGATGCTTCCAAAAATATTGTGCTTCTAGGAAACACATCACATTAACGATAGCCCGTGATATGTTTTGAAAACTTAAAAAATATATTTTATTTATTCATCGTTAGAGGGGAAGGAAAGGAGAGAAACATCAACGTGTGGATGCCTCTCTTGCGTCCCCTGTTGGGAACTGGCCTGCAACCCAGGCATGTGCCCTGACTGGGAATTGAACTGCAATTCTTTGGTTCGCAGGCCCACACTCAATCCACTGAGCTACACCAGCCAGGGCTGAAACTTGCGTTTTTCCCTTAAAACACGGATTGAAGATTGTTCCACACTCTCAGTACATAAAAGCCTGCTTGCTCACTGGTCAATTGTACAGTTTGCTGTTGAATGGATGTACCATGACTGAGTCAGCTACTGTCCTCCTGAGGTTTCTAATGGTTTGGCAGCACAAACAAGGCGGCAACAAGTCCCCTTTACTTCTGTTGCTTTGCACACCTGCCCGCCTACCTGCAGGATGTATTTCTGGAGGTGGAATGGCTGGGTCAGGTGGTCTGTGCGTTTGAAACTGTGGAAGACATTGGCAAATTGTTCTGCATGGAGGTCATTTGTACAAAGTCATGGCGATGTAGTACATGAACACCGCATGCTCTCACTCATTGTGTCTTCAGAACTTCTTAATCCCCCAGTCGGACAGGTGACATGTGACACGTCAGTGTAGTCACTGTTGTGGTCTTCACAACTTCTTGTTATAAATTTGATTATGGGGGCTCCAATTTTCACGAGGCTTCGTCACTTAGTCAGTTCCCTTTCTCCAAAACTACCTTGGCAAACACATTGATTTGTTTGTTTGTTTGTTTTAATTCAGCTTTTGAATTGGGAAAATGGCTTCAATTTCCAGTGGCTCTCCAAAGGATTCCTGGACGTTCTGCCTCCCCCGCACATCCCCAGAGGGATTCAGCAGGGCGCTAGCGAGCCCTGAGTTTCAAAGCCCTGGCCAAGGTCCCCTTCCACGACCCTGAACTAATTTTGTAGTCATAAATTTGTATTTTTTTTCCTTGAATAGGCTGCCCCCAGATTGTTTAAGCTTCAGGCCTGGTTATTCTCCTGCTGGTCTCCATCACCTCAGTTTCCAGGCCCTCTGGTGGGTGTCATGTGTATCCCCCCCCCAAAATTCTTTCATGCACATGTAGGCCCGTACTCACCTAGATGATCCACCCCTCCCTCTATTACACTTGCTTTTCTCCATGTATCATGGAGACTTTTCTACACAAGGTATGGAGGATGGCAGCAGTGGATTGGTTGGCCGGTGGGTAACTGCATGGCCCTCCATTGCACAGGTAAGGAGATAGTCAGCCTCCCTTGGGTGAACTTAGTGTGTATTCATTTTGTTCCTGCCATTTTCTTAAGTCTCCTACCAGGTTGCAGAGACTTAAATGGAAACGAACTATGGGGTGGCCACAGGTTTCAGGAGAGGTAAGGATTAAAACAGGTGAAGTTGGCAGGGGGTGTCTCAGCCTTTTTTACTCCCCACCCTCCCTAGGAATCTAGGACTGCAACAGAACAGGTCCCCTAGAACCTGCTGTGTACAACCTACCACAAGCACGGGCATCTGCATGTTAGGTTTATCCCCGGTTGCGACATAGACCATGGTCTTGCTAAAGAAATTCCGAGTATCCAAAGGCAGGAGGGAGAGATCATCGTAAGCCTAGGGTGCCTCCAAAATCACACTGAGTAGGCATTGCCTTTACAAAAGGCCCTATTACCCTACTGGTAGTACCACTACAGCCCACAGACAGACGCCCACTGCACACCCGCCAACGATAACGTGCCACTGTATCTGACAAAGATGGGACAACCCAGGCACGGACTGCTGCGTGTCTGCTGCACAGCAGCAAATCAATCACTTAGTGTTCTGCCTCTTTACCAACTTCAGTCCTTACTTCTGCTCTTCCAGTTCAATGCAGACACCATGGGGATATCATTTGGGGTAGCTGGAAATACAGCCTTTCCATTCTCCCCACCTCCTCAAAGGATCCGCTGTCCAATTTCCATCACAATGTACGTTTTGGGAGGAAAGGGTCACAGACATGTCCAATTTGGTTACGCCAAAACAAACCTTTTTACCCAGTTTTATCATTTGTTCAGACACTCGCTGTTGGTTCTCCCCTGATCTTTGCTAGAACTGAACCATCGTGGGTTTTAGTTCAAGAGAGCACAACTCAGCGACCTCTAGCTTTTTAATATGGGGTCAGGTAAATAATACATCGAGAAAGTGGGGCAGGAGAAAAGACGAAGGTGAGAGAAGAGAACTGATGAATCTCTGTGCTCTAGGAGTCACGTTCAGGACAACATTCCTACTTAAAAAGCGTTGACATGTATATCACCCTTCTCTGAAGCTCACAGCTTCCCCTTGGAATGAACGGGGGTGGGGGGTATCTTACCAACATTTTATACGTGGGACAGCAGAGAAAACCTGTGACTGAGCACAGCGCACCTGCACCCAGGTCTGTGGTGTTTCTCATTATTGAAGATGTCATGGTATATGATGGACACTCTCAGGGTCCCTCAGGAAGGCATCTGTGGGGTAGCAGCCATTCCAAATGTCTCTGCTGTAGTGCAGCCAAGAGGATCCATCTTGAAACTTTATTTGGATTGTATTTCACATAAAATTGAGGGAATGATGATCAGCGACACTTTCTTTGAAAGATCTGGGTGAAAAAAGAAAGAAGAGTTCAAGGTCAAGATGGCAGTACAGGCAGACATGGCTCATCTCTTCGCACAAGCACATCAACGTTACAACTAAAACAGAGAGCAGCCTTCACTCAGGAATGCCAGAAATCGAGCTGACTGGAAGTCTGATAACTGTGGAATTAAAAGAACCACATCCATCCAGACTGGTGGGAGGGGTGCAGGTGCAGGATGGGCTGGCCCCACACCCACGTGGACAAAAATTCGGGAGGGATGTCCCAGCCCCACACCGGGCCCCGCCAGCCCAGGTTACCAGAGCCAGGAAGGTAAGTCCCCACAACTTTGGGCTGCAAAAAACAGCAGGGATTGAGTCAGTGGAAGAAAATTCTGGAGCCCCAAGCAGTTCCTTTTAAAGAACCCACACACGGGCTTACTCAGACTCACTACCTCTGAGCTCCAGCGCTGGAGTAGCAGCTTGAAAGACACCAGTGTTATACAGGGAGGGACCGAAGTATCTGGCAACAAGGTGAGCAGAGGCCATTGTCCCTTTCTAAACCCTCCCCTACAGAGCTGATAAGCTAGTGCCATATCTGAGACTCCTTCAACCTGGCTAACATTGTTTGACCTGCCTTGGACACCCACAGAGTCTCTGCCCCACCCAACTTATAGGCCCACCCAAGCTGCTTTTCCATGAGAATGGCTGGTCTTGGCTCCTAAATCCTATCAAACAAGCAACTGCCCTTCAGTGAACCCTAGCAGCAGCCAGATTAGATTCCCAGCTTGGCTTTGCCTGGGAATCTCCAAGCCCAGCACAAGTAGCAGCCATCTCAGATGGCTTTATAGCTCAGGCAGGGTGTCCCCGAGCAAAACACAGCTTGGGAGCTAACTTTGACCTGCACCACCTGGGAAACCTCAGGGCCAGAGCACCCAGTGGACAGCTACGGACTGATCAAAGCGCCACCACCCTGCCCCTGCACAGCTGATCCTCCTCAGAGGGTGGACACTGGTGGTCAGTGGTCACAGCCAGTCCTTGCAGCTGAAGGGCCTGGGTAAATCCCTCTCATTGATCTGCCAATAGCAACAGGCTCAACTACAAGAGGAGGGTATACCCAGTCCACATGAAGAGCACACCTTGAGTACCAAGCTTGAATGGGTAGTCATCTATAGGGGAGGCTGTACCACTGGACCCTACAGCACACCTACTACACTGGGCCACACTACTAAGACACAGTCAAAGCAGCTCTACCTAATACATAGAAACAAACACAGGGAGGCTGCCAAAATGAGGAGACAAAGAAACATGGCCCAAATGAAAGAACACATCAAAAATCCAGAGAAAGAGCTAAGTGAAATGGAGATAAGCAATCTATTAGATACAGATTTCAAAAAGCTATTTATAAGGATGCTCGAGGAATTTAGTGAGGGCCTCAGCAGCATAAAAAAAAAACAACAGTCAGAAATGAAGGATTCACACTAATTGAACAAAAGAACAATTTACAGGGAAACAACAGTAGAATGGATGAAGCCAAGAATCAAATCAATGATTTGGAACATAAGGAAGTAAAAAACCAACCAATGACAACAACAAGATGAAAAAAGAATCCAAAAATATGAGGATAGTATAAGCAGCCTATGGGACAACTTTAAGAGATCCAATACTAACTTTATAGAAGTACCCGAAGGAGAGGAAAAGAACAAGAAATTGGAAATCTATCTGAAAAAACAGTGAAAGAAAACTTCCCTAATTGGTGAAGGAAATAGACATGCAAGTCCAGGAAGCACAGAGTCCCAATTATTATGGATGCAAAAAGGCCCACGCCAAGACAAATCGTAATTAAAAGGCCAAAGGTTAAAGATAAAGAGAGACTTAAAAGCAGCAAGAGAAGAGATGTTAGTTACCAGGAGGTTACCAGATGGGAGGGGGCAGGGGGAGAACGGGTAAGAGGTGAGGGGATTAAGAAGTACAAACAGGTAGTTACAGAATAACCATGGGGATGTAAATGTCAGCATAGAAAATGGGGTAGCCGAAAAACTTACATACGTGACCCATGGACATGGGCAATGGTAGGGGGATGGCCTGAGGAAATAGGGGTGGTGGGTGGAGGGGGGCAAAGGGGGGAAATTCAGGACAATTGTAATAGCATAATCAATAAAATAATAACTTAAAAAAATAACAGGGGAAATATCAGATAGATGATAAAGTACTATATCAGTATGACTTCTTTCACTTATTTTATGACAATCTTCTCTGGACATTATAGAAATAAAATTTGATTTATTAATAGTTGCATAATATTCCATATTAGAGATTTATAATGTTTTATTTAATAACCTGACTATCGAAGGATGTTAGGTAATTTATGATGTTGCTTTTACAAATAATGCCTCAATTTAAAATATCTTCGTGTATGTGTTTTGCCCACATATATGTGAATATGTCTGTAGGCATGTTCCTAGAATTAGAATCGCTGCTTCAAAGGGTATGCATATTTTAATTTTTAAAGATATATTCCCAAATAACTACCAAGACTATGGAGAAATCTCTATTTGCCCACATGCCAAGCAACACTAGAAAGTATCCATCCACCTTTTAATTTTTGTCCATCTGGGAAAAAAAAAAGGTATTTTCTGCTTTAAAATTCATTTCTCTAATTACTAGAGGGCTATCCATCTCTCACCATCTTTAGAGCTTTTTCACTTGTTTTTCTGTACCTGGCTCATTTGTCTCTAGCTATTTCCAGGTAATTTGTGCACAATAAAAAACTGTTAATATATTACTATTTTATACACACACAGAGAGGCAGGCAAAAGGAGATCAGTAGGGCTAACCCCAGTCGGTCGCTGGAACTCAGGTTTGTTGACTGATTTTTAAAGTCTCCGAGAATGTGTACAGAAGGCCGGCAACCTGAGCACTTGGGAGATGGTGTCTAAGTGCGCGGTGCACTGAGACATTCTTGGCTAACACATCTACTGTACAGATCACCACCTGCGCGTACCGAAGCCTCTGTTGGCTGTACTTTTTATCCTTCCCTTGAAATGGGTTTTCAGAATACTCCAGTTGGACTTTTTGCACCTCGCTTAACTACAGACAGGGAAGACGGCTGTGTTCTTTCAGCTCCGGGCGCGGCCTGTGCCGCCCTGCGAGGACCTGGACCAGAGCCGACGCCGAGTCACGCACCTGCTTGTCAGCGGAGGAAAGTTCATACCGTCTCGCTGCCTCTGTTTCCTCCTTGTTTCCCAAATGAGTGTAATGAAGGTGCCAAACTCATGGAATTCTTATGAAACGTAGACAAGATAATCATGTAGGTGTCCCGGCACAATGCCTGATGCTTATAAGCATCCAATAAATAGTAGGTATTAAAATTATTGTTTACCATGTGGGCTATAGAGGCAAGGAATTAGACATTTAGGGTTTATTCCACGTGCTAGAACCTTTGTTTCCCAGTGAAAGTTACTCTTCAGGTTCAAGAAGTCCAATAAAACTCCCTTTTCTTGGGTGGGTATCTCATCTTCTGTCCCCGTCACATTTCTGTGATCCCCTTTCCTTAAAGCACTCAGATGGTCAAGTCGCTTAATACCTCAGCAGTACTCAAGTTCCTATCACCTTTAAGGCCTAAGATAGTCTCTTACCTTAAGGAGTCCATTTCATTTTCTCTGCACGAAACTTACTTTATATTCCTTTAAAAAAGTGAAAATCCAAATTCCAATAAAAAGTCAGATAACATGGAAAACAGTATGGAATTTTCTCAGAAAAATAAAAATCGACCTGCCTTTTGACCCAGCAATTCCACTGCTGGGATTATATCCTAAGAACCCTAAAACATCAATATCAAAGAACCCATGTACCACAATGTTCATAGCAGAACAATTTACAATAGCCAAGAGTTGCGAGCAACCTAGGTGCCCATCAGTAAATGAATGGATCAAAAAATTGTGGTACATATACACAATGGAATTCTATGCAGCAGAGAGAAAGAAGGAACTACTACCCTTTGCAACAACATGGATGGAACTGGAAAGCATTATGCTGAGTGAAATAAGCCAGGCAGTGAAAGACAAATACCATATGATCTCACCTTTAACAGGAAGCTAAACAACAAAACAGACAAGCAAGCAGAATAAAAACAAAGACACTGAAATAGACAACAGGGGCACAGTGACCAGAGGGGAGAGGGAAGGGAATTTAAGGGGAAAAAAGGGGAGGGATTTGGAGGAACAAGTATGAAGGACACAGGGACAAGAACTAAGGGGGGGTGGAAATGGGAGGGAGGTGGGGGGTACCGGGCAGGGTGGGCTGGGATGGGAGAAATAGACAAAAAACTGTACTTGAAAAATAACTAAATAAAATTAATTAAAAAAAATAAAGTCAGATAACCAACAGAGAGAGAGAGAAAATTAGAAAAAAAGACGTAAAACTACAGATGGTCTAGTTCCACTTGCTCTTACAGATGAGGAAACCGAAAGCCAGAGGAGTTAAGCAACTTCTCGAGGGTCACACAGTGAATGAGTGGGGGAGCGGGGACGGGAACCCACACACCTGGACTCTGAGCCGGCGCTCTGCTGACTAAATCAGAATGTGCTCAAGCACCCAGCTCTTCTCTTCGCCCAACGTGATTTCAAAAATTAAAAGTAGGCAGAGAGACACGGGTTTTAAAAAGATGGATCAAAAGGAAACAGTGCTCTTCAACGTGGGCCCAGAACGCTAGCAGTACAAGACACTTCCCTGCTGGTTAGGAAAACATGTTCTCACTCAGAGGGACGGCCCTCCACCTCTTCTTTTGTGTCTGGCTCAACAGCCCGTTTAACAAGGATATTCTATACCCACGGCAAGTAGTGAATACCAGTCTCACAGGTCGGCAGTTGGCAATCCCTGGCCCACATGCCAGAGATGCTTCAGGTGCCAATTTCAGGCGGCAGGTGAACCAGCTACTGCGTACACCTTCCCCTCCCTATCATTTCCCATAGTCTTTGTCCATACTTGTCGCCACCCTCTCACCAGAGTTTTCAAGGGTGACACCCTCA